CCGCTAGGAGGGGTGGAAGCTGTGGTGGTGGTGGTGGCGGTGGAGGAGGAGGTGGAGTTTCGAGCAGCGGGGGTGGTGCTTGTGATGACGACGTCGGTCTCAGAGTCGGACGATTCGGAGGTGCTCGAGACCTCGGTAGTGGCAGGTGCGGTTGTTCGGATCCTTGCACGAGGTGGACTGGTGGTGCTGGTGTTTCCACGGCGACGCGAATCCACCTCTCCTCCTCTTCTCGATCCTCCGGCGAAGCACTGTAACAGGAAGACAAGCGCAGCTTCGAGCTATACGATCCCGCTCAAAGCTTCCACAGAAAGTCTGCGGGATCTCGCCTGGTCCACAATGCTTTGTGATTGGTACCTACTCAGTCACACGTCCTGTGCAAGCACGATTCGCAACCGTCAACGAATCAACACAATCAACAGCTGCAATGAGATCAAGCCTCGTGCCATTCAGCGTGTGCAGCAGTGAATATCGTACTAATCCATGCCGACGGCCCAAACCTCGAGGCCGTAGCACTCGAACCTTGCTTCCCCCTCCTTCCTCCCCGCGTCCCTCCCTTTCCCATCGCACAGGATTTCGTTATCAAACGCTGGGCAGCACGAGCTCACACCCTTCTCCAGCGCACCATCAATCCACAGTCCAAACTTGCCCTCCCCACCGCCCACACTGAGGAACGTCGACTCGGACAAGACCATGTAGTCGTTCTTCCCCGTCCACTTGTACCTCTCCACCCCCCTGTCCTCTTCCTTGCTCGGCGCAGCCGTCGTCTTCCAGAGAAAACACTCTCCGGACCCGTAGTAATGCTGCTGCGGTCGCAGCTTTTCGTTGACAAACGCACCAAAAACGTTGTCATCCCCATCCTTGATGGCAATCACCAGTCCGGCATCCGAGATGCTGTTGAGCCCGCCACCGACGTACATCCTCCTCCCCGCGGTTTGACCACGTGTGCCCATCGCCTGTTGCGTCTCCCTCGATGCGCCTCTCAACCACCCTTCTGCCTGTCCATCCTCTTCACCTGCCTTGCCCGCTTGATTGCCCGACACGCTCCGACCCACTTTCATCGGATCCAGTCCAGCTGCAACACGATGATACAGCGTCTGCAGCGAGATGCCGTGCTGATCGAGAGAATACAACAAACTCCATCGTTTGCCGAGCTGCAATCTCGGTGGAAGCAAAGCCTGGATCCGGGAAGCGTGGAACGACTCGATGACCGTCTCGGTCTCTTCGCGACGATTGGAGAGGGTGACTGGGATGGAACGCTTTTGCTTCTCGTCGAGCGTCCAGTGCCCAGTGTTCCACTTGCGTGTCGAGGCCGTGTCGAAACCAGGTGCGCCAGAGATGGGTGCGGTGGCCGAGTGCGTGGGACCGCGACGGAGCGTTCCCGAAGCATTCATGGACGACGACGACGATGACGCACCACCGGCTGCACCGAGCGCGGCTGAACTCGAAGAGGCGAACAGATCTCGCGCCCGCAGCGGTGCTGAGCTAGAAGAGCTGGAGGAAGGTGCTGCTGCGCCAGAGGAGAAGCCTGACGCGGAAGTTGTTGAAGATGAACCAAACGGCGTCTTTTGACTGTAATCTGATGCGTGCGGAAGGGTTCCACTTGCTCGTCCATCGGAGGCTGAGGATCGTCTACCAGTCATCTCATGCCCGTGCTCGTCTGGATCAACCTTGGGGGCATCACTGGCGATCAACAAGCCGCCACCAGGATTTGAGTCCGCCACGCCGTGGTCAGCCGCACTCCGACCGCCCTCGATTTCCTCTTCCGGCACGATAAAGTCACTCGCGCTAGGCAGGTGATTGGCGATCTCGTTCTGGATCCCACGAAGCGTCGTCCACGTCTTCCTCAAACTACCGGTCCAGCTCGACGGCGAGGTGGGTGAGAGTGATCCCGGACCTGCATCCCTGTGAGCTTGTAATCGAGCGCCGTTGTTGATCGGCTGTGGCTGGGCTGCGAGTCCAAAGTACGAATCCGTGTTTTTGGGCGCAGATGATGACGCGGGCATGGGACTGGTACGTGCGTCGTGCATGCTTTCGAGTTGTTCCGGCTCGAGCACCAGAGGACTGCTTCGACCCAGAGCTGCTTGTGGTGCCCGCTCGAAACGGGAAAAGAAGTCATCGTCGGTCGATGAAGCCGGCGCGTTCTTCTTTTGCTGCTGCTGCTTCTTTTGCTCGAGCTGCTTTTCCACGCCGCGAAGGTCGATGATGGGAGGTGAGGGAGCTCGGTTGGGATTGGTCGCGACTTCAAAAGCGTCGAAGAAGGCGTCGTCTGCAGGATTTGTCGTGTTTGTCACCGACGCTGTCGGCTTGGCCGAAGACGACGGCTGCGAAGGGTTCGTCTGCGATCGTTGAGTAGGCAGAGTGTGCGCAGCTAAAAAGGAGCTCCAGTCGGCCCATTCAGAGGAGGCGCCTGTTCCGCTGACTTTGCGTCCAGCTGCTGGTCGGCTGGCGGGCGTAGATACGGCAGAAGAAGACGGAAGCCTCTTTTGAGCTGCAGAATGGCTACTCAATATCGACTTGTTCGGTTCTTCTGGTGAGAAGCTGGCAACCAGATCTGCCTCCGCCCATTCGTCCTGATCCTCCCCTACAGCACCTTGCGGACGTGGCGAAGGTGAGGCGGCTCTCGTGCGGGTCGGCGAGCTTAGCGACACCGATGATGAAGCTGCTTGGTATTCCAGAGGCTCAGAAAGCCCAGGATCGAAGCTGGAGGGGAAGGCGGTCGAGGCATCGACGAAGGATCCGAAGCCGTCGGACTCCGTTCTAGCATGGCCCGAGGATTCAGAAATGGAACCTCTGCCTCTTCGGCGCAGCGACGACTGGGGCGAGGCCATCCTGAGTATGAGCAAGGTGGGTGCGGGCTAAAGCCGATCAGAGATGCATGCCTGGTGTGTCCGCGACTCACGCCTGTGTCGATGCGTCTCCTCGCGCTTCGTGCCTGGGAAGCCGGCGGTTCAGTGTCTGATCGATTACCGCGCTAGGACGACCACCACGTTGAACTGTGTCTCGAGTAGTGGAAGGTGTTGTCGAGAGGGTCTCGTTGCCGCTGTTCTGGTTGCGCAGCAGTTCGCGGCGGGTTGGTGGACGATGTGATGCAGAGGAGGGGTCCGAGGTTGGAAGAATGCGGGCAACGGGGTTGTGTCACTTTTCAGGTGTTGCTCAGTCACAAAGACACACTTGCCTTCCAGACTCTAAATTTCGCTCAGCGGACGACAGACCGACAGCTGCGTGGGCTGGGGGTCTGTGCGCGTCATGCTGCAGCGTGCACTTCTAGCCAGCATCTTCGTTCTTATTTTAAGCCCAAACCTCTTCCACCTTCTTGCTGGGACACCACCCAATCTTCACTCGCTCATTTGTGTCTGCATCACGGTCCCACGAATGGCTCAACTCAATTGCCTCAGTCGCGCGAAAGAGACCGTGGGCCGAGCGCAACAGTCGGTGGGGCAACGAAAGTGTTGTTACAAGAAAAGCAGACTAGACGGTGACGAAAGAGTGCAAGTATAGTAGCCGCAGAAAGGCAGTGGCGAACAGATGAACCAGGGTTGCTCTGGTCCGGACCGGACGGCGGATCTTTTGCCCCAAAGCGAATGTGAGATGACCGGTTGGCGCATCACTGGTAGAAATGAAGGTCGAATGCCGTCTTCCACGCCACTGCCTCCTCCGGCGTGGACGCAGCAAGGTACAGGATCTCGGAGCGATCTACAACGCGAAGGTTGATGCCGCCCAGGATCTCGACGGGTCGAATGAGCTTGAGCATCGAGCGCAGCAACACGGGCGCGTTGATGTCCTTGTTCCTCGTCTGCTCGGCGCACAGCACCGCAACATCGCTGCACAGGATCAGGGACATGCTCTGATCCTCGGTCACCTGCTGCAAGTGGTCGGCTGACAGCACATGGCTCTGGCTTTGCCTCGTGTCGATGCTGCTCACCGACGCGCTTCGGTCGGAGCGCACGAATCCTGGAATGCGGCGCACCACGCGCTTCAGTTGCAACGATCCATCCTTGAGCAGACGACGATGAGGCTGCACCAGAGGCCCTTCGATGGGTCCTCGGATGCGGTACTGCCACGCCAACAATCGTCGGTCCTGCTCCGACTGACGCTTGCTCTCGTTAACCTTGGATGCGATCTGCGTCACATGCTCAAGCGCGGTGGCCAATGCATCGCCGTCAGCCAGTCGATGGGTGTCGGTGCTCTTGACCAGATCCTCCAGCAGCAAACGGTACCGAGGAATGCGCTGCACAGGCAGCAGCAGGTAGCTCTCCACGTTGAGTTGGTTGTGACGAGGGTGCGTGCGGCAGCGCTTCATGAAGGTTCTGACCTTTTTGCGCTGCGAAGGCGTGAGATTGCCGTCGTTGCCGAAGATGCCCGAAGGAGCGTGTGCGCCCATCAGGCCGTTAAGAGAGCCGCTGGCATAGAGAGCCGCTGCGGTGCCTTGTTGCGCCGACATGGCGCCGAATGCTTGCAAAGCGCCGTAGGCGGTCGTTCCTCGAAGCGAAAGGCCGCCGCCGCCAGCAGCCGAGGATGGAGCCATCCATGCGCTCATCCTGGTCTGCGCAGAGTCGCAATTGTTGATGTAGCTCGTGTACATTTTGAAGAAAGCGGCATGCGTCGAGAAGACCGACGCCACCTTCTCGGCAACCGCTGCTGTCGCTTCAGGCGCCATGTCGCCTGGCGCATCCTGGTCGTGATCGAGCACTGGTTTAGCCATAGCCACCAGCGACGGAAGGAAGACGGTGCGGTGGAACTGCAGCAGCGCTTCAACATTGCCAAAGACTGCGCGATGTTCGGTGGCCGGGATCACCGCGACTCCACTGCTGCCGTCAGCGGGCGCCATGGCTGGCTTGACGTAGATATCGACCAACTCGCTCAGCCCCTTGACGTAGGTACGCTCCGTCGAGATGATCTCCGCAATGATACGGAAGCGTCTCACCGAGTCGTCTTTGCCGCACTGCGTAGTGCTAAGACGTGCTGGCTCGGAAGAGGCGCCTTCAGAGACAGAGCTGGCGGCCGTGCTGGCCACGTACTCTCCGCCAGAGTCTCGCGACTTGGTCGAAGGATTGCTCGACTCGGCTCGGTACACGCTCGGTGTGCGCGAGTGGCCATTTCCATCGCGAAGATGCGCAAGCGAGCTCTTGCTGGGTCCGACGAACGAGGCTGCCTCGGTGCGTCCCGCGGTGAGATCATCCAGATCGCGGAGGTAGTGCATGAGTGCACGCAGACGATTGCGGTGTCTAGCAAGACTCTCCTCGTCCATCTCTGTTCGGGACGGAACAGCTGTGCTGAGAACCGGCCCAGCGGCACTGGCAAGGACAGGCAAGAAGCTGCGTCGACGAGCCTTTTTGGCTTCCGCATCTGACACAAATGGCTGCAGAAGCGATGACGGCTGCAAGGACAGCATGGGCTCGGCAGGTGGATCGAGTGGCGTCATGGGAGCGAGATGATTGTCGACATCGGCGGCAACAGCAGCAGCAAGGCTGCGAGACACCGTAGCAACCGTCGGACAGACGGGCTCGGATTGCGATTGGGTCATCAAAGGCGGTGCGCCGCTCTTTGAAAGAGAGTTGGCCCTCGTAGGGCCGGCAGACGAGCGCAGCGATTTTCGCGAAAACTTGGGCGACGAGAAGCGACTCTCGCTGGGGCTCGTCGCAGGATCGTGGAAAGCGGTACCTAGCCTCTGGCTCGAGGCCTTACGTCCGATCTTTTTGAGGAAGCCGCCCCATCTGCCACTACCTGCGTTACGGTTGTCCAGACCATCGGCGTCAACAAGCGCGCCGATGCGATCCTCGTACTCCGTCGTCGGACGTGATTGTGAATCTCTGGGGCTGATGTGTCCGCTGTCGTTGCTGTCGGACTCAGACGGCGACACGGGCAAGGTCCGCGATCCAGACTGATAGCTGAACATGCTCTGCAGGTCGTTCGCGCTGCGCATGCGAGCCATGAAAGGGCGCTCCGGCACCTGCTGGAGCCTTGTATGGGTGGCGCTGCTGGAGCGAAGTTGCAATTTGGGAGCCTCGCCGAGGTGCGGGACATGCGCAGGCTGCAAGATAGCAGCGAGAGGCCTCTGCGGCTGAGAGAAGAGCGGCGCGACAATGTCTTGCCATGGCCCTCGGAAGCGATTGCCCTCGACAAAGAGATTGCTGAGCTTCGACATGCGATGGAGCCAGCTGGGCAGGAATACGAGCTGATTGCTGCGGAGACTCAGACGTTGAAGCTCCTGAAGCTGGATGAGGCTTGACGGCAGATGCTGCAACCCGATGCGGTCAGCCGAGAGTGCTCGAAGCGCGCGAAGGTTGAGGATCCAGTCTGGCAGGCACTCGACCGGGTTGCCGGAGATGTCGAGCTCTTCGAGCGCGATGCAAGCGCCGATGGCGTCAGGAAGGCGTGGCAAGAAGCAATTCGACAGATCGAGCACCAACAGATTGTTGGTGAGAGGCAAGACTCGTTCCAGAACTTCGACCAGTCCTTCTGTCTGATTGCCGCTCAGCAGTAAGTGGGTGGTGTTGGGACCAGTCTCGGCCTCGATCTGCTCGAGAGTCAGATCGCGACCCTGTACGATCGCAGCGCTGCCATCTTCAGCGGTCTTGACCGCCCTCGATTCGTCGCCGTCAAGCTCGGCACTCTCGTCAAAGTCGTAGAGACCTTCCTCCCAACGCAACTTGCTTGTGTATGCACCGACAATGTGGCTGAACTCGCCATTCTGCAGAAAGCTGTTGATCGATACGTCCGACACCCTACGTCTGCGCGAGGCAGCCGACGACGTGCGCAAGGAGGGCTCTTGCACTGGGCTCGTCGGCGAGTCCTCGGGAGCATCCTGCATAGCAATAATTGAATTGCTGAGGTCGTTGATGGTGGTGATGCGGTCCAATGTTGGACGAGGAGGCCTCTTGGCTGCGCTGGCGGGCGGAGTTCGCGGCGAGCCGGCTCTGCTGAGACCGGGCGATGCTCGTAGGGAGTTGGTGGAGGCCGATGGCCGAAGCGAGCTGGTGCGCGGAGGGCTCTGCCACTGTTCGATGTTGCTCCCACCCAGATTGCTGGATGAGGTCGGCAACGAAGGAGTAAAGCGGCCTGAGTTGGACGACGGTGACGCGACCGAGAACGAAGGGGAATGGGATCGTTGTGCAGCACTGAATGCTGCAGGACGGTAGTTTGATAGGTCGGAAGAGCAGCGGGCACGAGAATCGCGTCGAAGCGGAATCGATGGATTTGCCAAGTTCGACGACGATGCGGAAGCAACGGCAGCAGCAATGTCGTGACTGGCCGACGAGACGGGTGTCACGTCGCTCAGAGCTCGCTGCATGCTTGGAATGACGTTCAGCCCCAACGATCGCAGGCCACTCTCGAGCGAAGCAGCTGGGTCAAATTGGGGTCCGCTTGTCTGTGAATGTCCAACGAGCGGAGACACGTCTACGCGCCTTGTCCAGGAGGGAGCACGATGATGCGAAAAGGGCCCTTGAAGGACTTTTGCGCTTCCGGGGAGCATGGGCGAAGGCAGCACAGGAACAGCGCTCGATCTTCGGCTTGAGATGCCGTGCTCGAAGTCCGAAGTGATGCCAAGGCCTACGGAGCTCTCGTCGAGTTCTTCGGTGGACTCGCCCGTGACGTCTGATTTGAGACTGTAGTGTGCGCACGCAGGGCTGGTTGCGCAGCTCGTCAAGCTTCGTTCTGTCCATTCAGAGGCGTGCGTTGACGACGAATCGCGCACAGAGTTGTCGGAGGAGAAGTGGGTGTGCTGCGAGCTGCGCCTCTGACTGGCTGGCGAGGGGTAGCCCGTGTGGTCAAGTGGGGCACCCATGATCGGAAATGCCGCAGGCTGATAGGGCTGAATCATCTCGACCGAGCTCAGGCGAGGCGGTGCGAGCGGAGCGGCGTGACCGAGATCTGCCAGTGGCGATTCTGGCATGATTCGGGGTGAATGGAAAGTCTGGGGTGACAACGATTCGGGGCTGGCACAGGGACTGACAGAGGTCCTCTCCTCCGCTGCGCAAGGAACAGAGGGAGAAGATTGGAGGTTCGCTCCTGGTGAACCTTCTGTCGAAGCGTTTCCCGTAGGGCTACGGGTGGAAGGCGGGCGAGCAGGAAGAGCCTTCAGAGCATATGTCGAAAACGCCTGGGCAGGCTGGGCAGATGTTGGAGGTGATGATGGCGGTGGTGATGGAAGCGACTTCTCGGAGGGCAAAGAGATAGTGTTGGCTCTTGGAGTGAGCTGCGAGACGGACATGACGTTTCCATGCAGCCATACACGGTCTGTCCTGAACTGCTGAGGAGTCGATCCTGTCGAAGATGGGAGGCGTGATACCGTGCGTCGAGTACCTGGCAGCTCGATCCGACCCACTCGATAGTGCTTGCAATGCCAACGGCAGATTCGACAAGAATCGTCAGGTCGAAACTAGTCAAGAGACCCCCCTTTTCTGAATGCTTCGAGAGAAGCGTCGCAGCTGCGGTGCACGGACCGAACGTTGCGATGCAGTCGAGCGTCTAAGGCAGTGCGGCGAAGCAATGTGTGTGCGGACCTGCCGTGTCCTTTAGGCTTTCTGACACGTTTCGGCGATGCTCCGTCACGGCGGTGGAGCGTCCGAGATGAAGACAGGGAGGATCAAACTCGAGATGAAAGACGAAATTGGACTGACCAGACAGCGCTCTCCTGCGATGTCCTTACGTGGGCACGGAGGGCCGAGCCAGCTCGACGGGGGCTTGAAAAGCTAGGATCCTGCGCCCTGCCTAGGGAAAACGATGAACGAATACCTGAAAGGGAAGCGAACTACCTTGCTTTAAGCTGAGAGTGCGCCGATGGGTTGCCGCTCGTGATCATTGGCGTGGGGCGGGTGAACTTTGTCGGATCTGGTCGTGAAGCGTTGCGTGGCGTGATCGGGGACTGCTGATGCGCTGCCTTGACTCGGAATGAAGCAGTCGGATGTTGGTGAACTTAGGCTTAGGCTTTAACTCGAGGTGCGTCAGATTTGTCGCGGCAAGTCCGATTCGAGGGTCACGACGACTAGATGTGCTTGCGCGCTACGAATCCAGGAGGAATGTTGGCTTGAAAGTGCGAAACGTTAAAGTCGATGAAGGTTGCGGACACCAGGTCGAGCGATCATGGAGCTGAGAAAGGTCGGCACTTTGCCAGAAAGAAGCCGGAATGATTACGGCGATTGGGACCGACGGCGCAGAGCGTGGAAGTGGCGGACAGGAGCTGGTCGAAGTCGGGGTGAAGGTGGGAGATGCGTCCGTATCGTGATCCGAGGTCAATGTTGAGTATGAGTCTGCGCCCACGAATTCGAAGGCTTCCGATCGAGCTCGTCAAGTGAATGGACGGGAGAGCGATCGAGGTGATGAAGAGGAGAGAGACACGGGTGAGGCGGAACAGTGAATCTGGTGATGGGGAATCAGGGGCAGACGGTAACAGATCGAGGCCGCAGCTGTCGTTTGGGTCCTGAACGTCGATGGCAGATCGCAAAAGACAATGCTTCGGGACAAAGAAGATGTCCAGCCAGCAAGGGACAGCTGCATATTGTTGCAGTAGATTGGCTGACGATGCAGCAGTTTGCTGCATGTGACTTTTGGACGACAAGCCTTCCAGCTTCTCAATTTCAGCAATCTGGGCGACTGCATCCGCATGATCACAGTCGTGCATGCCGACCATGATCCATCCTGGCACTTCTTACATCTGTCTCTTTGCGATCAACAATGCTACGGCGATACACGGGTTGTCAACGTGAAACAGCCAGCGCAATCACGGACACAAGGACGCCGTCGAGCAGAGCGAACTCTGCTAAATTGTGTGTGATGCTTAAGAAGAAAGGGGGTCCAGTCAAGCTAGCCTCGCATGCACGTAACCGAAGTTTGCTACATAAAGGCGAACCGTCCTCAAGTCACATTTCCTTTTCTTCCCACAGTCTTGTTCTCGGGATCTGAGACATTTCGCGATTTCTTCCTACTTTCACACTCCGACAGCAAAACTGCATGTTTCTGTGTTGTGTCTCTTGAGCTGCAGCTACCGGGATTGTTTGTCTCTGATAACGCCCACGAAGAAGAGCCTGCTGTCCTCAATAAGGGCGCATGTATATGCATGCACGAGAGCGCATCCATCCGCGACGTGGCAAATGCTCCCAGCGACCTGGAAATGAGGGTCCGACCAAAGGCAATCGGAACTCCCTGTAAATGACTTGCTCGCGATCCCGCACTTCACTTTCTCGTTGTTGTGTTATCTCTCCCTCCCAGCGTACGATAGGACATATGAAAGCGGCGTCGACGCTGACGGAGACGATGCCTGTAGTGTTTTTCAAGGTCAACGGCCATCGTTCGCAAGCGAAAGGTACTGCAAAGGGAGGGGTCAAGTCAAGGGAGGAGGCGTAATCTGCGCCCTGCATACGCCCCCTCGAAGCCCAAGGAGGCTGGGCGCCCCGATACGTCCACGCGTGGCTCGAGCGTGGCAACATCAGCTCCGACTCGACGAACCCTTCCCCTCTCCTATTCCCATTCTACGTCCGTTGTCAGCTTCCGCCCTTCTTTTGGCAGCTTCCGTGCATGCGTCTTCCACTCCGTCCCCAGTTTCATTCGCTTTCGTGGAGACAAAGCGCGGGACCCTTTGTGAACAACGGCTTCAGCGAAGGCTGCAATGCGGCGTTGACCGACATGCAACGCAGCGCTTACCGTTGTGCTCGATCGTCTCTTCGTGCGCCGGGTCGCATGCTCTCTCACCTGGTCGTCGTTTGACTTATCGCAGAAATCTTTGTTCACCAAGCGAGGAAAGTGGTCGCGATCGCGGAATCAGTTCTTCCGGACTCCGTTCAGGCTTTTGAGACCACTCGGTGACGCTGGGGCTCCTGTCCCCGTCGAGTGCAACGTGCGTCGTCGCCAGACTTGTTGTCGATTCGTGCTCTCACACAAAACTTCTCGCTAAGGCGAGGTCGATCCATGATTGCAAACTCGGCTAAAACAAAAAAAGCGCACGGGACCCTCGTTTTTTTCGACACAGAATCGGGTCGATCAATCACGAGAGAAGTGTCGATCATACTGAGATCTGTTTTGATTTTCTGTATGCAATGGTTTGTGTGGTATTCAAGTAGTAAGAGAACATCGGCTGTCCGCACACGACCTCGCTTTCAGAACCCGGTAGAGCCCTCGCGCAACTGCGCCAGCTTCTTGTTGATCTCGCTCGGCTTTCTCTCCATCTCACCTGCAATCGCGTTCTGCTTCGCCGGTGGAAGCGATCCGAACGTCTCGCAAAGATCTCCATCGATGACGCTCTTGACCGGAGCATAGCTGCTCCGGTAAGCCAGGTGATCTCTCCCTACGAGGCTGTTGTTCTCCTGCCTAATGTGCGATTCAAGCGTCGACAAAGTGTCGACGTCTTCCTTGCTGACAAAGGGAACCAGTGCACCGATGGTCCCAGATAGACCGGTGTAGAGGATCACTTCTCGACCGCCAGGAACCATGGCTGTGCGGTGAAGCGACGTGATGATGTCGCCGACGAAAAAGTGTGCCACCAACGTTGCCTTGTGAGGCGCACCCATCAGAACCGGCTTTTCGTGGACGATCGTCATTCCCGTTGGATCCTCATCGACACTTCTGCTCGTGTTGGCGTCGATCCTCAAGACGTAGACGTTGCCGAACTTGTCCGCAGCAGCAACCGTGTCGTAGTCCAGCATCGTACACCTCGTGACGAATTTGGGCATGACATCGTCGGCAAACACGACGAGGCGATTCTCGAGCGGTTTGTAGCTGGCAAACACGATGCTTTCCTGCATGTCGCCGATCACGATACGGGATCCTTGCGCGTCGAGCGAGACGACAGCCGTGGCGAAAGATTTGTTCTCGCACTTGCGGAGCAGTTTCTTCTTGCCCAGATCGTAGATGCGAAGCGCTTTGCCGACACCTGCGAGAAGTCGGCCTTGGAAGGCACGCAGTACCAGCGGTACGTCATCCACCTCGGTCTTGTGCAGCACCTCGAGCTCGCGTCCGTCGTTGACCAGGCGGTAGGTCGTGAGGTATGCCTTCTTGAACGAGCGCGGAGACAGAACGACGTCGACCGCGGAGCCGACGACGACCATCGCCTCCTTTTCGGCACTCGCAAAAGGTACGACCGCTATGCTGAATGCTGCTTCGTTGTCGTCCAACTCAAGCTTGAATGTCGTTTGCGACTGCACACCATCTACAACACGGATGCAGCTTGCCCAGTTGCCTGCTTCGGCACTTATCAGGCCGAACTCGGCCGGATTGAGGTCCAGCACACCTCGCTGATGCGGTTTGAGCTCCTTCTCGAGCAGTTCGGTCCGTCTGCGTTGCGAACCTGGCAACAGTGTTCGGTGCTCGGCCTCGACCACGTAGAACAGGCCTTGTTCGTTCGGATGGTGGGCGATCCTGCGCGGCGTGTACGACAGCGACACGGAGTCCTGCTTCAACTTGCTCGCGAGCGATGGGATGGTAAAGATGCGAAGCGTGCTTCCTACGATACCGATCAAGCCCTCAGGACACAGCTCGGCGCTGAAAGACCACGCGTGATCCAAAGCGTCAAAGATGAGCGGTACGAACTGCAAACGATCCTGATACGTATACGAAAGCCATGTTCGCGTGCTCAAAGCCATAACAGCTGGCTGACCGTGCACTTTGGTTCGGATCAGGCGCACCGCCTTGCTTCCCAGGAAACGCGTTCTTGTGTCCGTCAGCTGACCCGTCACGGCATCTAGGACGGTGCGAAGGAGGACGCCGTTCTGGAGGCCAATGTTGACGAAGGTTGTCGCGTGGTTGCGGTCGATGGTGGCGTCGTGCATCTCGGCTATGCAGATGCTGGACGCAGGTGCTGTGAGGGCCTGGATCGAGATGGAAGCTAATGTCGAGGTGGGCTCGAGCGAGATGATGCGCACGGTGGAGTCATCGCAGCCAACGGCAAGATAAGGTGTTCTCTGACGGCCTTCAGGACAATCAGCCATACTCATCGTGAGCACAGCGGCGCCCATAGCTTTGCGCTCCTGATACTCGTTGAGTTGGCCGTCCATGTCGAGTTCAAAGTAGACCAGTTCGTTGCTGCTAAGCGCAACCACCACCTGGCGCTCATTGGTGCATGTCGCCACGATGGTCGTCTGTCTGCCATTGGGAAGACTCGGTGTAGCCCACTCGTTGATCTGCTTGTCCACAAGAACGTGACGGATGCCGTGCGGGTGCACCTGCAAAAGAGCGTCTTCGCCCAATTGCTGTACCGCATGCGTGGGCGATGAGGTTAGGAATCCGCTATCTGATACCTCTTCGATCGTCTCTCCGATGCTGAGAACGAGCGTTCCATTGACGAAGCTGAGTATGATATAGCTGTCATGTTCGTCCTGCCGTGTGATCTTGGTCGTCCACACTGCGCTGGGCACACCAGGCAAGTCTGAGCTTACCGCCTCTTGCGCTTCGAGACCATGCCGCAACATCTTGAGACTGCTTCTTGCGCCTCGTCCGCAGGCAGCAAAGATCTGTGGCGAGTCCGACGCCAGCGGATTGAGAGGCTTGGCGTCGAGGATGGGCTCGAGGCTTGGCACTTCGTCGACCTGCACGAGGTTGTCGAGCGGCCTCGGTGTGAACGTGGGCAGCTGTGGACGTCGTCGGCCAGCGCCATTCTCGTCGTAGTCGGTTGAAATGTACTCGGGCAAGTCGTCGTCATCACCAAGCTTCTGGAATGAGTAAAGCAGCTGTGGGCCGTACTCGGACGCCACAAATAGGAAGCCTGACCGCAAGATGGCTAGACCGGATGCGACTGGGACAGTGTCGAAATACTTGATCTTGAGCGAGCGGATCTCGTCGTCCTGATGCTCCATCGTGATCTTGAACAGGTCGCCGTCTTCTGTCTGGACGAGGAAGAAGAAGGCGTTCTTCATCTTGTGCAGCACACTTGCGACGATCAGCGTGCCTCGCCTTTCTGATGTCTTTTCGATAGGGTTGAGCCGCTTTGGGATGGGAACACGGTGCTCTGGCTGGTCCTGATGTTTGTAGGTAATGTAGTCTTCGCTGCAGACGAGAACACCACTTGGTCCGTCCCACTTCTCCAGATTCTGATTGTACCCGCCTGGCACCTGAATGAGCAGATTTGACCGCGGATCGACGGGCTCGGACCACTTGCGCACGACGTGATTGAGACCAAGATCGAGTTCGTAGTAGGTGAGCGCCTTTTCGGCTTCTTCGAATGCACGTCCTGATGGATCGTGGTCAGAGTCAGAATAGTCGACCTCGAGACAAGCGAAAAGAGGGTTCTCGAAGCCTACGTCGACGCCGATGATGTGATGGATGATGCCATTGGGTCGATGCGCTTCGAGCGGACTTGAAATGGTGAGGTTTGCCTGAGCGTCTCTGTTCAGAATGTATACGAGCTTGGCCTTCTCCATGGCGCCGATCATGGTGGCGCGACCCTTGGGATCTGTAGCGAGGTACTGCCCTGGTACGATTCTGCGAGAACCGGATCGTCCGAACGTCTCCTGATGCACCTTGTCGAACGAGTTGGTTTTCGGTTGATACTCGAGAATGACGATTCTCCCCGAGTCGGAGCCGACGATGAGATAGTCCTTGGAGCCACCGGTGAGTCGAAAGGAGGCCAAGCTACGCACCACGCCGAAAGCATCGTGGGAGAGCACCGTGTCGACTTTGCCTGTCTGCGTATCGGGTCTCAGAAGCTCGAGACGACTGCCCTTTGCGACGACGATCTCCTGCTGCCGCATGCCTGAGAACTGACCCACCACGGTCGCATTGACGCTGCCGGAAGGCTGCAGCGTCAGGTTGTAAAGGTGCATGCCGTCCATCTTGAGGTGATTGTCGAAGCGTGGTGCTGCAGTGTGGACTCGGCGATCGACGAGCTCGAGATGTTGTTCCGAGGTGCAGGATGGACGTTTCGGGAGGCTCCCTCTTCTGACTATGTCTTTTGGCGGCTGCGAGAGCGCGTCTCGTGATGTGTACTTCCTTCTCGCTCAATTGGATGGTCGAAAGAACGGGCGGAAACCAACAGCCGAACGCCAAGAACGCGATACCGAGCTTGAAGCCCACGGCAGTGCGTTGCACTTTCCAGATTGCTGCTTGAGGTGACGTCAAAGCAAGATCCGATATGGGAGGGCGAGTCGAAAGGCATGCATAGGAGGACGATCGAAAGCTTCCAAAGGAGGAAGCGGCTCAGCCCATGCAAGTGAAAAAAGCTCGGAAGACGGGGCTTTCGTTTTAAACAATGTTACGTTGGATTTAGCAACACTACCTCACGGAGAAATTTGTGTCGCAGATTCGGAGGATTGCAAAGGAGATGTTGCACTTTTCAACGTCCGCCTGCATCCGAACTTTGCAACGGATCGACCAGTTGCTTCCGATGACAGTGGTCCGCAAGTACGGTCGAGACAGGCAGCTGGATGCGATGTGATCATCATCTCGGTGCTCAGCAGACGTGATTTCAAGAGGTGAAGATGTACTCGTTAATGCTAGATCGTTACATTCGTTGGGCTGCTATCATTACAAAGTAGAGAACCACACGAGAAGAAATGACGACACTTCCTGGCAAGGGAACAAACACATAATGTCGACGCAGCGTGCACCGACCATGCGCCTTTGACCAAGATTCTGTCGTTCGTAAAGTGAATGGGATGGCTGAATTGTCCGTAAAAATGGCCCAGCGTGCCACAGGCTCCAGCTTTCTGGAGCTGCCAGTGCAAGCGTTGAGCCTAGTGTCGCAGTCGTCTTCCTGGTTAACGACGGTGCAGTGGCCTTCGAAAAGCCTCAAGAGGCCGCGAAATTCCACGAGGGAAGCTGCTTGAGAGGCCGTCAAAGTCAGCCATGACGAGGCGGCCAGCATCGAGCGAGATCCGTATCGTCGACACTCTGGTAACAAAATACGACGTGCTTAGAAGCTGTAGATATTGTTCTCCTTGGTGGCGAGAGCGTAGTAGTGCTCGATCCTCTTCTTGAAGCGCCAGCACATGAAGTATGCGTACAGCTGCAACGCCAAGTCGATGGCGAGCGAGAAGACAAAGGCGATGTAGAGACTATGGAAGCCGGCTGAGCACAGCCCTGAAGGCATCGTGCCGTTGTTTGTACCTTGCTCGCCCGCTGTCCCCCACAGCTGACCACCGTTGTTGCATTCCCACACGATCTTGGTTTGCTGTCTATCGAGCTGAAACATCATGAAAGCAGCTCGAACGGCGACGACCAGTAGGATGATGGGCCAGAGGAAGAAGCAGAGGCGCATGAACATGTACGAGTTGTTGGCCATGCCGATGGTGGTGATGATGCAGATCGCCATGACTGCCATGCCGATACCGCCGTAAATCTGCCACTCGGGGTAGTTGAAGAAGAGGAACTGCCCCTTTTGGAAAAGCAGGATGGAGCCGGCCAGATTGTACGCTGCGATGAAGACGTTCCACACCATGGCGCCAGAGCGCAAAGGGAAAAGGAGCAAGCAATTGTCACACCACATGATGTCTGCTGGAGATACCTTTTGAGGTACTTTCCACCGATGCACAAGCTGCGAGAGGGGCTTTGTTTGAGCGGTTGGTCGTCACAGCGCTTGATGTCGTGAGATCGTAAAGGCCGTTAGCAGGCAGTGCTGATGTTGATCAACAAGCCCGGATTTTGTTTCGAGGTGAAAGCAGATATGGTAGGGAGGGAAGAAAGATGAAGCCAGACGGATGGCGAGGAGGGTGGTGGGAAGCAGGCAGGACAGGAACGCTCAAGTCAAGTCCAGACGTGTGAAGCGGAGTCAACGACCAGGCTTGGCAACAAAGCTTCAGGTGCGAAGCGGATTGCAGCGGAGAGCGAAAATGACGGGGCAGCAGGGCGCAGAGTTGCAGGGCGGAGATGGACAGGGGCCAAAATGTCGCGAGATGCATGCACCACTGCTCGAGCTCCAAGGTTGACTTGCAGAAGAACAGTTCCTTGACCGCCGCATCATTGATACAGTTCCATCTCACTTAGTACTCCTCGACCACAATGACCTGCTATCATGGTCCGTATCAGAAGCGAGTCTGCTGCTGGGCTGAAAGCCGACTCTGTCGTGTGGAGGGCGCAGTCTCTCCGACATCAACACGCAGATAGCATCGCTTTCCATGACTCAAACGGCCTACGAGTGTTCAGCCTGGAGCAGCCTGTCGATTCAAGCCAGCAACAGAGAGCGTTTCCGCTTCTTCAGACGTCCACGTTCCGAGCCAGGACCGCTCGCATTGCAGCTCATCCCGAGAGACGCTTGGACCTCGCGGCAAGGTACAGCAGCGCGGTTTTGGCCCAGCAACGCGAGGCACGACACAACCCATGCAGGCTTGCAACCCGAATGAAGGTCAAAGCTGCAGCGCCGACAGAAGATAGGAGGTGCTGGGAAAGCGACCGACCAAGGTCGAGCATGCGTTATGCGTTGTTGCTCTCGACTCAAACTCTAGCCTTTTTGGGCTCTCAGGGGCTGAAACGTCAACAAAGGATGCAGCTCGCTTAGCGCCTGTCAAGAATTTCTACCGACGTCCCGAAAAGGCAAGTTATTCACCCGATCCTTGTCCCTCTTCTACGTCGAGAATCGGGAGATATTGATAGACCTTGCCATGAAGCAAGCGCTTTCCGCGACGCGTCCCTTGAATTGGAGCCAGGCCTTGGCTCTCGCTGAGCGAAGAGCAATGTGACACATGCAGCGGGCCAGCCGCGCTCCGGTGCTTTCCAGCTGCGACTCAGCCCAAAAAAAGTGTTGGTCTCGAATCTTTCCTTCTAACTGACGCTGCTTCGTTTCTTTCCGCTTGACCATATCGCAACTCGACGCTTTCCAGTTCAGGCTTCACCCGGGAGAGCTTAAGCTGTGCATCCGAGAGCAGACATCATTGGTGGCCAGAATGGCCCTTCGCTAGTCGAATTAAGCTGGGCCAGCAAGACGTTCACGGTTTGGGGCATCGCTTCTTTCCCACCGGCGAGACCGACGGACGCACTCTCAGCTGCCACTGCTCTTCAATCGACAGTGGATCATCATGGCGCTAGGCAAGAGGTCTTCCCAGAGCAATGGGCGTCGACGCTCCCTGATGGACGACGAAGATGACGACATCGATGCCGTCTCGCCAAAGCGCATCCGCACCAATCACCAAGTTCCGCTCAGCAATCGCGACGGCACTCCAGTACAGTCACGGCCTCGGCCGCATCGACCTGAACAACCAGAAGAGGATGACGGCGTGGTGACGCCAGATGAGGGTGTAAGCGATCAGGAGCAGGAGCACGACGACGACGACGACGACGACGAAGACACGGACGAAGATGAGCATGATGAGATCGACTCCGACGAGGACAGGGCCGAGCAGGAGCGCCGTCTGGCTGACGCAGATCAGGGCACCGCTCAGTCCGGTATCGTCGAAAAGATTGAGCTGCGCAACTTCATGTGCCACGCCAACTTCACCATCCAGTTTGGCCCCAAGCTCAACTTTGTCATGGGTCGCAACGGCAGCGGCAAGAGCACCATCCTCACCGCGCTCATGGTAGCGCTCGGCGGCAAGACTAGCTCCACCAATCGCGGCTCCAGCCTTAAGGACCTCGTCAAGAAAGGCGAGTCCAGTTCCACCATCATCGTGACCTTGCGCAACCAAGGCAGCGATGCCTTCAAGCCAGAAGCGTACGGCAACTTCATTATCATCGAACGTCGCATCCTGGCCGAAGGCGGCGGCACCTGGAAGATGAAGTCTGCCGCCGGCAAGGTCGTCGCCACCACAAAGTCGGAGCTCGAGTCGTTTTGCGACTTTGCCAACATCCAGCCTGACAATCCCATCCACATCCTCACCCAAGATACCGCCCGGCAGTTCCTTGGCAGCTCAGACCCCGCCGAGGTGTACAAGTTTTTCCTTGAAGGCACCCAGCTTAGCCAGCTGGTGCGCGAGTACAATCTCATCGAGACGCACGTACGCAGCATGAAGGCGGCGCTCGCGCTCAAGTCCGGCGCCCTAGAACAGCTAGAGACCCTCGCACAACATGCGCTTCAGCAGTGGCAAAAGGTGCGCGAGACGCGTGGTTACCAGGACAAGATCGATATGCTCGACCGAGAGTTTGTCTGGGTCCAAGTCCAAGACGCCGAGGCACAGTTGCAGCACGCCGTGGAAAAGACCGAACGCATCCGCGCAAAGCTCGTCAAATGCGACGACAGCCTCAAAGAAAGTCTCAAGGCACTTAAAGAGTGCGAGGAGCGCATCGTGCAGCTCGAGGATGAGGACGGCAACTTCGATCGCGTCTTTGCGCCGATTCAGGAGGAGCATGCCGAGCTCGTGCGCAAAGCCAAGGACCTAGCACAGCAGATCAAGGCGTTCAACGTCCAGGAGCGCGAACTCAACGACAAGATCATCGAAATCAACAGAGGAATCGAGAGATACGAGGACCAGATTCGCGAAGAGACCGCCAAGCTTGCCCACGACGGCAAATCACGGCGTCAGCAGCTCGAGGATGAGCGCCAGTCGGTGCAAAGGCAGCGCCAAGAACTTCAAGATCAGACGCTGGACAAGGAAGAGCAACAACGCGAGCTCGAAGCGAAAATCGCCGAACTGACCGGCCTCGAAGACTCCCACGGTCAAGATCTACGTCGCCTGAAGGACGAATATGGCGCGAACGGTTCGCGACTTGCGCAGTTGCGCGAGAGCAGCAAAAATCGCCTCGCCGCATTCGGTGGACCAAAGATTCCCGCCTTGCTTCAAGCCATCAACAGCGAGAGCGGCTGGAGGTCCAAGCCCATCGGACCCCTCGGTACGCATCTCAAGCTCAGGGACGCGCGCTGGCAGAGGGTGCTCGAAAGCGTCATCGCCAACAACCTCAATGCCTTTTTCGTCTCGAATCACGCGGATCGCATGCGCCTCAAGAAGATAATGGATCGCCTCGGTGTCCATTCGCCCATCATCATTGGTGCCGAAACGCTGTTCGACTACTCTTCCGGGGAGCCACACCGGGACATTACCACCATACTGCGAGTGCTCGACTTCGACAACGAGATCGTCAAACGTCAGCTCATCCTTGCCGTCCACATCGAGCGTGCAGCTCTGGTTGAAAGGCGTGCCGAAGGTGACAGGCTCATGCGAACAACCCCCGCCAACGTGCAGGTCTGCTTCTCCGCCGACATGTTCAGCATTTCCGGTGGACAGGCCGGCTCGCTATCTGCTGCTCTGCAGGAACACAGAGGTGCACCTCGTCTCTCGCAGAATGTCGGCGACGTCATCCGCCGATTGGAAGAGGAACAGCAGCGCCTCGAATCCGAGATCGCCGCTTGCAACCAGCAGCTCCGTGAGCTCAGGCAGCAGAGGAGCGGTCACGAACGGTCAAGAGAGACGTGCAAGCGCGAGCTCGACGCCCTTCGAAGGCGCAAAGACATTCTTCGCCAAGACCTGAGTCGGCTGGACGAGCAGATGCAGGAGGCGGCGCCGGGTAACATCTCGGCGCTCGAGGAAGCAAAGCGCGAGGTAGAGGCTGAGAAGGAGGTCATCCTGCAGCAGTTTGAAGAGATACAGTCGCAAAAGGCTGCCATCGTCGCCAAACGGACTCCGATTCAGGACGAAATCCAAGCGCTGGAAGTGCGCAAGAGCCAGGTCGAGGAGAGGATAGGCAATCTGCACGGCAACCTCCGAGAAGCTGTGGCTCAGCGAGTCGAGCAGATGAACAATCGGGATCATTGGCAGAGGAAACACGCCAGCATCGAAGCCGAGGTGAAGGCGAGCGAGACCGAAGAAGCGAATTTCGAGCAAGATTACCAGAACGTCGAGCAGGCAGCTTTGCAGTACTGCGACAAGATTGAGACGACACGGACGATGATCCAGATCGAAAAGGAGAAGAAGGAGCTGCAGCTGCTCAAGAAGAAGGCGGCCTCGGAGGCAGGCGTCACCTTGGAGCAGGCTGCCGAGGAGCTTCAGAAACGCAAGCAGGCTCTGGCGGAAGCGAAGGACGAGGTTTCGAATATGAACGAAGCTGAACGAAGACTGCGAAGCTCTCTGGCGGTGCGATACGCCAAGTGGAACTTCTTCCGTCGATCCATCGCGCTGCGAGCCAGGAGCAACTTCGCCCGCAACCTGGCGACTCGTGGCTACGAAGGGACGCTCAAGTTCAACCACAAGTCGGAGAAGCTCTCGCTGGCCGTCGATACGCAAGCGCAAGACCAATCGCATCGCTCGAGCTCTGCAGCCGCGACGCAGCAGCATTCCAACAAAGGAATGTCGGGAGGCGAGAGGAGCTTCGCCACGGCGTGTCTGTTGCTGTCGTTGTGGCAGGCGATGAGCTCTCCGATCCGGTGCTTGGACGAGTTCGATATCTTTATGGATCAGGTGAATAGGAGGGTGGCGTTGTCGATGATCATGAACGAGGCTAGGTCGACACCGCACGTTCAGTATATCATGATCACGCCGCAGGATATGCCGGACATGAGGGGAGAGATGGACGATGTCAAGATGTTGGTGGTGAACCCGCCGGAGAGGAATGAGGGTGCGCTGGCTGGGTGATGCTGGACTCAGGAGAAGCGTTGCACAGTCAAAATTCGGTATCGTGAACGGGTGTTGTGAGATGTATGCGAGAAGAGGTGATGAATGAATGGATTTTCGTAATGTGACAACAATGATACAGCGGTGTTTTATAGACGACCTGAGCCGGTGACTTTTTTGGTCTTCAACTTGATCAGGTTTGTCAAGAGATCGTTTGCCGTAGTGTCGATGTTGTAACCTCTACCGAGGGCGGAGATGTAGCCGTTGATGTAGTCGATTTCTGTGCTGCCTCTTCTGCTTTTGAGGTCGCTGTGCATGGAGGACCAATTTGCCGCTGTCAACCGAGCGACGCGTTGAACCTCTTGGAATAGGGCTTGTGGGGTCAAGCTTGGGTTGAGCATTGGTTCGCCCGTATCGGTTGAGAGCAGAACGAGATCTTCCACGGAAAGCGTTGACGAGGATTTCCTTTGCGTGCTGGTGGAAGAAGAGAGGTGTTCGCGAACTTGTGCTTCGAGGATCATACCTGCTTCGAGGCAGACGGACCACATCGCGTCCATGGCAGCAGGGTTGCCGAAGAGATCTCCGTTCTTGCAGTCGGCGAGAGCTGTGAGTGGGTTGATACAGGCGTTGATCACGAGTTTTCGCAAGGAACGCAGTTGGAACTCTCGAATGGGCTCCCATTCCACGTTGAGGGGCAGCGAGAGAAGCGCGGCGACGGTGGAACGAAGCGTACGGAGGTTGGGTTGATCGGGAATGTTGGCGATGGAAAGTTTGGTGGAAGGCGAATTTGGATCGGGTATCTCTTCGACGGGGTTGGAGTCTGTGTCGGGGGAGAAACGCTCCCATCCCTTGGCTTTTCTGCCTGTTCCTCTGGTTGGTAACGCAACGCCTCGTGTGGTCGCGATCGTCTGACCGAACGGAACTCGTGCCGCTTCGAAGCCTTCCGGTCCGGAACGACCGCTAGGCACGATTCCGAAATGCAGCGTGCCCGCACTGGCATGCACTACATCCAATGGTCCCTTCCTCCAACACCCATGCGTGGTCGAAGCAAGCACAAAGTTCGGCCGTTGATCGGGGTCCTTGAAGAACCTCTCGAAGAGCGTATCGAGTACACCCATGCCGTTCTGCAGCAACACGATGGTGGACCATGGATGTATGCGATGACGGATGCTCTCTATCGCGGATAGTGTCGAGTCGCATTTGGTGGTGACGATCAGGCTGTCGATCGGACTGGCTCGTGGTTGAGAGTAGGTTCCCTCGAGGGTGGAGATGAGGGAGAGGCCACCGTCATTATCTGGTAGTGGGATGTTGGAAGAAGTCTGCTCTCCTATGGATGCGGATTTCGAACCCGTCTGTGTCCTAGATATCGAGAAACGATCCGATTCCGAGTCGTCGTCGTCTTCCTGTGTCTGTGCCTGATTTGCACGATTCTGACGCACGATCGTGGCGATAACATCCGTTGAGCTGGAGCTGAAATCTGTCTGAAAGCCACCTTCGATGTCCCTAACGCCATCCTGCTCGACTACGATCGAGTTGAGGTAACGCTTCTGCGCTTGCCTACCGAACGCCTTTCTGCGCAAATGTAGTGTGACGGACGTCTGCTGTGGGTCCGGAAGGTTGGATTGGATGTAAGGCGGTAGGCTGAGCGAGGAGACGATGGTGCCTTGGTTCTGGGGTGGACGTTTGTTGGTGAGGTTGGAGAGCAGAAGCTCTCGCCGTGACTTGGAGGAGGACGGCCCTGGTTGGAGAAGCTGACGCTGGAGTTTGACGGAGCGCTTGAGATGAAAGGCGATGAGCGATCCTATGGACCCTACACCAAGGACGTGGTAGCGCATGATGGGCGAGAAGAGATGACCGGGCGGCCACCCCAGAGCCTGGTCGCTACGGAGCGAAGAAAATCTAGCAGGTGGAAGAGAGGGATGCAAAGGCGCTTCGTTATCTTGCACTCATGAGGTTCTGAATCGAGGTTCGAAGATGGTGGCAGAAGGGTGTTTGATATGATCCGATGGTCGTGTGGAGGCCTGTCTGCTCGATGGTGGCCAAAGGCGCCAAGAGGTGTTGTTGGAGGGCCTTCCGCGACGTGCTTGTGCTGGATACGTACGGCGTCTACCTGAGCGCGACTTCCTCTAGAAGGTTCATCGGATGATGGAGGATGGCGATGGGCGGGGGATGAGGTGAGCTATGGTCGAAGGTGTGAATGAACGGCTGAAGTAAGAAGGGTCGTAGGAAGGTGGAGAAAGCTGCTCAGCTGTCGCCCTTTTTTCTGACATTTCAATTCCTAGAAAAGCACTTCTTCGCATGCTCAGGCGAGCATGACAAATCCACATTTCCGCTGCTTCAAATCGGGTGCATCGGGTCCGGGATGGCTCAGTCCGAGTGTGAGGCAGGATTTCGGCAGTCGGGCCTATATCAACTGCAAGCACAGTCTTGTGCACATCACTCGCGTCTCGCTAAACTGTTCCCTTCCAGACATTGAACATCATATCCGTTTCCTTTGACATCCTTCCCATCCATGCAGCCTGCCTAGTTCATATCACCAGGCGCTCATCCTCTGGCATTGCCAGTCGGCCGCTCCGTCACACAACCCGCCATCGCGCTTGACCGCTTTCAGAAGCTGAGCATACACTCACTCGCTAGTCGCTGCCTACCGCCATCATGGAGGACGAACAGAACGCCGCCCTTCACCTCGGCGGCCTCGCTCTCGGCAATGTGCTCCGTGATCTCGGCATCGACGAGGACCAGCAAACCGACCTCGAACGATTAGGTATTGCTTCCGGAAGTGGCAGGATCAAACAGGAGGATATCTACAACGACCGCTTTGCAGACGAGGACGATGATCTCGGCGATGGTTATCGCCGCAATGGCTCTTCCACAAAAGATTGGGAGACCGAGGTCGACGATGAAATGAGGCGGGAGCTCGCAAGCGAGCGTGACTCGGAGGAAAGAGCAGAGCTCGACAGATACTACCGTCAAGGTCTCGCACAGCTCGAGCAGCCAAGAGCACCATTAAGAGGCGAGCAAGATGATTTTGACGACAGCGATGAAGCCGAAGATGTGCCGCTTTCCCAACACACGCCTCGAGGTCAGAGCAACGGTCACTCCACCCACACCAATGGCTTTGCTCGTTTCAGTGAAGGCATGATCAAGGTCAAGGAGGAACGCGACGACGACAGCGACATGGCTTTCCTATCGGCTCCCATGCCAGCTTCGTCCGGCGCTGCGCCATCTCCATTCACCCCGCTCGCACTGCCTTCAGCCCGCGCTACCAGACACGACTCGCCGCAAACGCCGCCGCCGCCTTCCCATCAATCGTTCATCGACGCAGCACCGCCTGCTCGTCCATATGTCGACATGGACGAGGTGCGACAGCACTTTCCCGATTTCGAGCCTGGCAAAATCCTTAACTTCACCGATCTCTTCGCCACGCGACCTCCAAAGAAACGCAAGCTTGGTTCAGCTGCTGCCAAGTTTCACATCACTCCCGAAGACGAGCTACCCGTACCAAAGTCGACACGCGAAGAGTTGCTTCGATCGTCTGCTTTACGTCCGCACCATGTCAACATCCTTCCCTCCCTTACTCGTGAGCTGGATGGCGGCTCGGCGGGCTCTGCACAGACTGACTCGGCCATCGACGACGTGGAATTTGCCGTCATCTCAACACCAGGTGTCAAGGCGGACAAACGCAACGCTGCGTTGGCACCGGTCGAGCTCGATGATTGGGAGGATCGCATTGCTTGGGACGTCCATATCAAGAGTCAGTCCAACAACCTTGCAGCGATGTCAATCGATGACATTGGGGATTTGTCTTCTGTCGAGGACGACTCGTTAGCGGCACGTGCGCCACCAAAGGTGGACCAACCATTTAATCACGACCTTTTCCGCGGCGCTTGGACCCGCAGCATCATATTTGACGCTCATACCCCCTTCGAGGCCTTCGACAAACTCGTTCTCGACATGAACGATCCGCAAATGATGCTTGAAGAAGACCTTGGGCCAAAGACGAAGCAAAACTCCCTGCTGCGCTCCGATGCGCCCGTGGTGTCAGCGGCAGCACAGCGCGACCTTGCACGCCGCCAAGCCGAGCTTGACCCTCTGAACCTGTCCAACGACAAGTTCTACGAGCAGACTCGCGAGCACCGCCAACGAGTGCGTCAGACGCTCGGAAAGCTCGTCGTACAACACGCCTGGCCCGCCGTCAAGCTGCAGCTGCCTTGGTACAAGACCAAGCTCACAAAAGCGGAGGCAAGATCCTTTCATCGTCCCGCCATGCAGTTCCCCACCAACATGCCCCTCCACTTCTCAAAGACCATCTCCTCCAAAAAGAAGAAGGAAGGTGCCGGCGCACGCAAGGCAAAAGATCCCAACGAGATGCTCCGCACCACGCGCGATCTGACGCTCAAGGACACAGGCCCCTTTGTGCTGTACGAATACTCTGAAGAATACCCACCCTTGCTCTCCAAGATTGGTATGGGCAGTTTGCTCGTCAACTACTACCGCAAGAAGGACGCCAAGGACGAACATGTCCCCAAGATGGATATTGGCGAGCCGTACTTGCTCGACGTCGCTGACGAGTCGCCCTTCATGAAGTTCGGTAACATCGAGCGAGGCCAGGTGCAGCCGACCTTGTACAACAACATGATCCGCGCACCGCTTTTCCGACACAAGCCAGCTCACACCGACTTCCTGCTGATCCGAAGTACCACAAAGAACGAGATTCGCTACTACCTGCGAGAGATCCGCAACCTCTTTGTAGTGGGCCAGACCTATCCTGTCCAGCCTATTCCTGGTCCTCACGCGCGTCTCATCACCAACAACATCAAGTATCGGCTACAGATGATCGCCTACAAGCTCATTCAAAAGAGCCAACGCCAGCGTATCAAGATCCATCGTCTGATGCGCTACTTCCCTGACCAGAACGAGCTGCAGATGCGACAGAGGCTCAAGGAGTTCATGGAGTACAACCGCAAGGCCGGCGACGTTAATCAGGGATTCTGGAAGCTCAAGCCGCACATTGTGGTGCCAGAAGAGGCCGAGCTGCTAAAGATGTTGCCGCCAGAGAACATCTGTCTCGCCGAAAGCATGCAAGTTGGTCAACGACATTTGCTGGATTGCGGTTATACCAACACCGCTGAAGGAGACGACGATGACGAAAGCAAGATGGACATCGAGCAGCTGCTCGCGCCTTGGATCACCAGCAAGAACTTCATCAATGCGACGCAGGGCAAAGCCATGCTGAAGTTGCACGGTGACGGTGATCCAACCGGCCGTGGCGAGGCTTTCAGCTTCATCCGCGTCTCCATGAAAGAAATTTTCTTGCGAGCCGACGAAGATGCGGAGGAGAGACTCGCGCAAGCTGAGGCGGAGGCGAAGAGCAAGTCGGGCCACAAGTACAGTGTGGCCGAGCAGCAGGCGGTTTATCGATCCGAGGTCGACCGGATCTGGAGGGCGCAGTGTCGCTCGCTGTCGAATCCGATTCCGCCCAAGGTGACCGCGGAGGACGAACGTCGCGCGCTTCTGCAGGCCAACGGCGGTGTCAAGCCGGATGCACGCAATGGCGGACGAGACGAGTCAGTCCGACGCGATCGAAGCCCCAGCGCCATGAGCACGATCAACGGCGATGGCGATAGATCAACCAAAGTACTGCGCATCCGTCGCTTCATCAACGGCAAGTGGCAGCGCGAGATGGTCCGCGACCCTGCCGTCATCAACGCCTACCTCACGCAACGCAAGAAGATCGAGGACGAGGCCATTGCGACCGAAGATCTGCTGCCGACAGGCGATGCCGCCATCGACATGGCGCGCATGAAGCGTTTGCAGGAGGAGCTCGCACAACGCAAGAAGAACCAAGAGCGACGTATCCAGCGCAAGAACGCCAAGGCTGCCGCAGAAGGCCTGGCCATTCCTGGCGGTTACAAGAGTCTGCTCAACAAGACGGATACCAAACGACGATGTGGTCGATGTGGAGAGGTGGGTCACATGTCGACCAACACGTCTTGTCCTATGTTCCCGAAGGACGGGGGCAAGAATGGCGCAGGCGGGGCTGCTGGTGGCAGCGGACCGGGCACACCGGGGACGCCGGCGGGCGGAGGAAGGCCAGGCATGCCGCATCTGGCAAGTGGCGGTGGGTTCTTTGGACCTGGCATGGGTATGGGAATCGGTATGGCGAGTGCTGGGCCGATGACACCGATGACTCCGGCTGCACAGACGCCGGCAGATTCTCCAGCTCCGTCGCAGAGCCCCGCTCCGGGTAGCGGCACTCCGACACCAGGACTGAAGTTGAAGCTCAAAAAGAAGGCGTAATGCCAGCAACGGCGTCTGCGGTTCTGGTCTCAGTCGGATCAGTATGTCGTGTTCGTCCAAGTTTTCAGTAATCAATCATGTATTTGTATCCGTCTTTCCCATCAACTCATCAGCATTCTGACTCGCCAGTCGCTCTGTGACATGTCTGTGTTTGCCGCTTTTGGATGAAGTGAGTTTGAGGAGCTCGTTCAGGGTCTGTAGATAATTATTCGGGAGCCGGAATTCAAGCTGTTTAGGGTGGAGGAGGATGCACGCTCAGCCGTGTCTTGCGTTCTTCTTTGTGCGTCTTGACTGCAACGCATCACATTGACCTCGCACGACATTTGACGGCGTGAGCGTCTCGCAATATGAGCGAGGGTGCTAATTTCGTAAAGAGAAGCAAGCCGAGGAGCTCAGCTTCGAGGATCAGCTCGACGTACGATGATGACCAGGCTTCGGAAGCTGGACCATCCAATGGGTTTGCACGAGCTTCGGCAGCATCGACTTCGACGAAGGCGGATTCGGCTGCGACAGCGATAGGTCGAGGATCGGCTGGAAGCGACGATGATGGCGCCTCGAACGTTGTTTTCCGAGCACGAGCGAAGGGTGCTAGGGGGACGACGTCTTCGTTGGCATCGACGACGGCGTCTGCCAGCAGACGTTCGCGAGATGCTTCACCCTCAGCAGCATACAACCAGCCGCCGAAAAGCAGCGCGATGGACGAGGATGATGCAGGAGACGATGGGGATGCGTTCGATATCCGACGTTCGAAGCCCAACGTAACCGGCAAGCATGCCAGACGATCTACACCTGTAGGTCAGTCCCGTACAACAGCGTCGACACCGAAACGCTCGACACCTCTCCGTCCCACCTCCTTCCAACAGCAACCTCTCGACGAACCCCATCCATCAACGAGCACACTCTCATCCAGCCTCTACACATCCAAATACCTCGACGAGCTGCGATCGTCCACCCCCACCCTGCCACGCTCCCGAGCAGACAGCCCCATCGCAGCGCTCGGACCGGGAACACGCATCGAAGACCCCATGTTGATCACGCAAGCCTCGCGTCTAGCGCTCGACGACGATTCGACGCTCGCCCGCGCCAGGTTCGCCGTTGACTTTGCGCACGATGCCATCCCCAGCGAGCGAGTCATCCGAGCGGCCAAAGAGAAGCGTGCGAAACTTCGTGCTGCCCACGCTGCCTCCGCCTCCACCGCCGTGGGGGACGACTTTATCTCGCTCGCACCTACCTCGTTGGAAAAGTACGACGGGACAGGTGTGGATTCGGGACCCCATCCGCACTCCCGCCTGCAGCGAGAGGAGGACGAACTCGGGGATGGCGAAGACGAATTCAGCGAATTCACCGGTGCGACCGACCGAATCCCGATCGGTGAAAGCCAGATGAAAGAAATGGAGGCTCGACAGCGTCAGGAGATGTACGAAGCTATCCGCGGAGACTCGGACGACGAGATGCAAGACGAAGAGGAGTTGGAGTGGGAACAAGCACAGCTGCGAAGGACGCAAACTACAAATCCTGTGTCGAGGGAAGCTTCGCCCTTCCGATCCGCGCCCATCCCAGCACCCACCCCACTGCCTTCCGTGGGAACGTGCTCCACCCGCCTAGAACTGACACTCAGAGCACTGGAGCAGAGCATCTCCTCATCGAAATCGGTGGTCGAATCGACGGGAAAGGAGCTCATCGCATTAGAGGAAGCGGAGAGGGAGAACAAGTTGGACGTGGTGGCGGTGGAGGAGAAAGCGGCATGGTTCGATGAGATGGAGGCGTTCGTGGTGAGTCTGGCGCGGTTTATGGAGGAGAAGGTGGCGAGGGTGGAGGAGGTGGAGACGCGGGCGATGGAGTTGCTGGTCAGGAGGAACAGGATAGTGATGAGGACGAGGGGAAGGTGGATTGATGGTAGGTTGCGGATGTGTTTGGGGATCGTACCGGGCAAGAGTGCTGTGATTGAATTCGACGAGGAGAAGGGGGATGCTGAGATGGACACTGGCGATGGTATCGGTGACGAAGCGCAAGCGGTCGATGCTCTGCAGTTGGACACGCTTCCACCAGCGGACGAGTCATCCTTCGCCCTCGCTCAACAAGAGATCCTCACGACCCTCAAAACGATCTTTGCCGACACTCAGGCGCCTGAATACCTCGATCCCGCAGCAACAACCGCGAACACCGGATTCGACACCGACCTGCATCCGCTTAGCGTCGTCTCGCGATTCCAAGAGTGGCGACGAGCCTACCGGGAGGAGTACGCGCAGGTGTGGGGTGGACTATCGCTCGCGCAGATCTGGGAGTTTTATGCCCGGGTGGAGGTGATCCCGTATTCGCCCTTTTCGTCGACCACGACGCGGGGATGGGTAGGGGGTGCGGCTGCCATCAGTCGATTCAGATGGTTTACCGGTGCCTCTGATTATGCTTCTCGGGCGGTTGACGGAAAGGAGGCGGTGGGAGGTGACGATGAAGTGGTAGAAACGTTGATGGGGAATGTGCTGGTGAAGAAGTTGATGGGGTTGACGCAGGGAGGTGCGTTCTCGCCTTGGTCCGCGGAGGAGTTTGGGGAGGCGGTGGAGGCGGTGGATCTGGTCCAGACGGTGTTGGGCGCGGGGAATGCGAGATGCGAAGGCTTGATGGAATCATTTTTGGATGTCTTCCAGCGACAGATTGGGAGACTGGAGGAGGTGATGCAGCTACCGTCGACAGCAATACCGGTAGGCGATAGGGCTCAAGCGGGGAGAGAGGTGGCAGAGCAACTCGTGCAGCTGTTGAAGAATCTGATCGGTTGGTCTCGTGTCATCGATCTCAAACAGATCGCGGCGTTGGCAAAGGTGTACTTGGGACTGGTGGAGAGCTTGTTGGGTGGTGTGGTGGAGGTGTTCGCCAGTCGATTGGAGGGTGCAGTGCAAGGGATGGAGCGGGAGGTGTGGGGGATGGTGCGGGAGGTTATACCGCAGCATATCGTGAAAGGATCGGAGAGGATTGGTGCTTTGCTCTCGAGACACTGCTAAGCGCCGGCCATGGGAGCCATCAGATATCATCACACCATCACACAAGCCTTCTATCGGTGACCCTGTTTGTTATTCTCTCAAATGACAACTTCTCATTAAACAAACTTCCATGTCGCCTTGTCACCCAACACCATCTGCTTTGCCTGTTGGCTACCCACCACCTTCTCCAGACTGATCAGATCGTACTTGCTATATACGACCATCGACATGACCTCGTTGGGATCCACCTCCTCCTCTTGCGCTTCCTCTCGCCCCCTGCCACTCGTCAGATCGCCCTTGGTAATAAACGGAAACTCCAACACCTCGGAAAAGAACGTGGCGTTCATGGGCAACTGATAAAACACCACGGTCCTGACGCCTCTCAGCTTGAACCTTCGGTAGAAATGCGCTCTCTCGGTCAAGAGCAGGAACCTCTTCTTGCCGCTGAAAAAGCCTTCCCTCGCTCTGCGGATGTCCTTGGGGGTCGAGTATTCGGAGATGCTCGTATACGAAAGGTTTGCGGTTTCGCCGGGTTTGCGTTTCTCGTTGTGTTCGCGGAGGAAGGCGTCCAGTCGAACGAAATCAAAGTAGCTCGGGACGACGATGAGCGTGTGGCTGCTTGAGACGGCCGACTTGCTCAGCTGATGCAGAGTCTTGGTGGTGAAGTGGCTGAAACGCAGATCGGGCTCGGCGTGAGGATTGGCCGCTTCGAACCTGCTGAAACTGTGTCGGACGCCGGAAACCACCTTCGCCAACTCGGCGTCCTTCTCGCTCGTCGATACCACCGTCCTCACTTTGCCAGCGACATTGTTCAACGAGTGATTGTACAACGACCTCAACTGCGGAAAGTCGTTGCCCGAAAGCAAGATCGTCTGTCTAAACATCGCCGCCCTGTTATCCAGGTAGAACTGCTTGACCCTCGAGAAATCCGTATCCCTACTCTGCCTCGGAATCTTGTTCAATCGGTCCAAAACAAACTCGAGATGCTCCCAATTCTGCATACTGATGACATCGGTCTGATCGACAATCACCATCTCGATGCTGGACAGGAAGTCGCTATCCCCCCTATCCTTTTCGATACCCAACCTCAATCCCAAGGGCGAAGCGACGATGACATCGGAATCGTAAAATCCGGAGAAAAGCTTGAGGCTTTTGCGTGTAACCTTGAAACCGAGCTTGAAAGAGTCGTCGATGTTACCTGCAAAGTTGGCGATGTGATCTGCGGGGTACTTGGCGGCGACGCTGGGATCGGCGAGTTTGTCGATCGCGCCTTCAGGTAGATTGTATTCTTTGGAGAAGCGGGATTTGTTGTCCACTTGTGAGCAGAGGCTGAACTTGGTCAAGAGGTCGACCCACTCGAGTGCAGAGTTGCGGAAGGGAAGCAGGATAAGGACTTTGGGACGGGTGAAACCCTGATCGCGAAGGTCGAGGTCGTCTGCTGCGTTGTTTGCAGAGGAGTCGTTGGTGGAGGAAGAGGAGGCAAGCTTGGCGAGCTTCTCGTTGTTCTTGAGGACGCGCCGACGGGTTTTTGCGATGTGGGACATGGCGTGCATGGCGAGCACCTGACGGTACTGGGGTCGATCGCGGAGGGCGACGTTGGCATCGCAGAAGTCGGCGTAGCTGCCGAGCGTGGTAGCGAGGGCTTTGTGGAGCGGCGTAGGGGATGAGAACTTTTTGGCAGTGAAGGCGTTGAACGCTTCAAGCACTTTCACTTGCGGTTGACCGGTGTATTGCTGCGTATCAAAGTCGGAGAGAGAGGGAGTGGACACGGCGATCTGCGTAGGGAGGGCGGGGAGCGTAGATTTGGAAGTGGACCAAGTGAGCGATGTGACAGACTCGGGTAGCTTTGTGATGGCTTGCGCATGAGGACCGTCGCTGCCAAAGTGAGCGTCGAAGGCTGTTTGCTGCTTTTGCTTTTGAGACTTGCTGGCCGAAGAGGAGACCGTAGCAGCGAGATCATCCTCATCGTCGTCCGAGTCTTCGCCGACGAGCTCGGTGCCATCGCGCGCTTTTGCTGGAGAAGAGACATCCACAGCAGTCTTGGACCGTTTGGAGGGCGAAGAAGCCGAGGAGGCAGGTGTTTTGGAAGTGGAAGCGGTGGCTTGCTGTGCGGCTACGGCCTTTCGTGTGATCTTGTCATAGTGTGTGAGGTTGGACGAGCGCTGACGCTTGCCTGGTCTTGCAGCGCTGACGTTGATGAGCGTGAGCAACTTGAGGGTCGGATCCATGGCTGTTGATGTTGCACCTCGACACCCGTGGTGGCAGTCGTGGTATGGTGTGGGAGAGGAAGACAAGAATGCACAAATGCTCAGTTGTCAGAACCAAAAAAGTTGCGGTTGCAGGCTGCGAAGTTGAAGCGGGAAGAAAACTCGGAGATCAGGGTTTGGGTGTGGAGGAACAACAGAAAAATTTCGGCGTTTTCTCTTTTTCTGCCTTTCTTTCTTCTTGACAAAAGTTCGCGGCAGCAGATCAGTATAAGCTCGGCCAGGTGGCTCAGTCTAACCACTCTTGCAATCTCTGACACCTCTTGCCATCGCTCGACCATCTCACACATCCAACCAACACTCGCTGCGGCATTTCGCTCACCATGCCGCTTGCACAGTCCAAAAACACAGTCGGTCTCGGAAGAGCCATCCTCAACAGGAAAGCAAAGGAGGCAAAACTACGCAACCAGACCGAATTCCACACCACCGATCTCAACAACTACGGCTCCGTCTCCAACCTCCGTTCCGTCACACACGAAGGCGATCTCGAAGAGTTTCTCAACACCGCCTCGCTCGCAGATGCCGATTTCACCGCAGAGAGGAGGAGTGGAGGTGTCACTGTAGTCAGCGCACCTGACCGCGAACGAACCCGCCACAACCCTTACCTGCTCACCGGTCAGGAGGAGCAGGAGGTGCTCAAAAAGCATGTTCAGAACAAAGAGCGTCTTCGCGTACCCAGGCGTCCTGAATGGACCAGTTCCACGACACGTGCGCAGCTCGAACGTGCCGAGAAGGACGGCTTTCTCGAATGGAGGCGAGGTCTCGCAGAGTTGCAGGAGGGCGTCGGTCTCGTCTTGACGCCGTTCGAGAGGAATCTCGAGGTGTGGCGTCAACTCTGGCGTGTCATCGAGCGAAGCCATCTGGTCGTTCAGATCGTCGATGCTAGAAACCCGCTTCGTTTCCGATGTGAGGATCTCGAAAAGTACGTCTCCAGTCTCGGCATCGGCTCCAACAACGGCATCGAGTATCTCGGCGAGGATGCAAACAAAAAGGGACCAAGAACGAATCTGCTCCTCATCAACAAGGCCGATCTGCTGGATGATGAGCAGAGGAGGTACTGGGCCGACTACTTTGACGCACAAGGTATTCAGTACGCATTCTTCAGTGCGGCAAATGCTGCTGCTATCCAGCTGGCGAGAGCGGAGGAAGAGGAGCGATTGCGTCTCGAGCAGCTCAGACTCGCCGAGCCGCAGGAGAACGACGATGAGGACGACGATGATGATGATGAAGAAGATGATGAGGACGAGGAGGCAGATGAGGTCGAGGCTGCCTCTGCTGCTGTTCACGAAGCGGCAAAGGATGCCAAGCCTCTGGTTGGTCAAGAAGCAAGCGACCGCGTGCACGACCACTCACATGCTGCTGTTCGCGACAGCCTCGTCGCCGAAAAGAAGTTTGGGCCAGACGATGCGGTCGACGCAGCCACCGCCACCGCTGCCACCACGCTGTCCGCCACTCGCGACCCGACTCGCGTGCTCAACGTGCTCGAACTCGAAGAGCTCTTCATGGCGTGCGCACCACCCCTGCACGACTTTGCCATCGACGGTCAACCCGCACCGTCCAAGCTCGTCGTCGGTCTCGTCGGCTACCCCAACGTCGGTAAATCCTCCACCATCAATGCGCTGCTCGGCGAGAAGAAGGTCTCGGTCTCGTCCACGCCCGGAAAAACCAAGCACTTCCAGACCATTCACCTTTCGCCCACCACGGTGCTGTGCGATTGTCCCGGTCTGGTGTTCCCGCAGTTTGCGACGACGTCGGCGGAGCTGGTTTGCGATGGTGTGCTGCCCATCGATCAGATGCGCGAGTATACTGCGCCGGCGGAGCTGGTTGCCAAGCGGATCCCGAGGGATATCGTGGAGGGGACGTACGGGATCAGGATCGAGACGGTGACGGAGGAGGAGGGAGGCAATGGAGTGCCTACGGGGTTGGAGATGCTGACGGCGTATGCTGTGGCGAGGGGGTTCACGCGTCAGGGGCAGGGAAATCCGGATGAGAGTCGTGCGGTGAGGTACGTTCTCAAGGACTACGTCAATGCCAAGCTGCTGTACGGTCATCCGCCACCCGGTGTCGATGCAGACGTGTACAATGCCGCTCAACGCGAGCGTGCACGTGCTGCCCTAGCCGGACGCAAGTACGACCCGACCACAGCCGAACACACCGACGCTGACGTAGACATCGACGACCTCGACTCGGACCTCACCGCCGAACTTGCCGAGCTCACCAAACGCAAGAGCTCGGGCGTACCACGTCAGTCGGCTAAGTCAAAGGCGTTGGATTCGGCGTTTTTCGATACGATGGCTTCGTCCAAGCCGACGATCGTGGGCAGGACGGGGATGGGGATGGCTGCGATTCAGGGCAGGATCGCCAACGATGGGAGTGTCATTAGGAACGGTGGGAAGGAGCAGGAGAAGGTGGGTGGTAAGAAGCATAACAAGGCTAACAAGAGGAAGAAGCAACGTTCGGGTGCTGGGTTTGATTAAGTTTTCTTCTCCGCATGTCAAGCAATGCACAGAGTGATCAGCATTCCAAAAAGCGTCTCTGTCTTGATAAGCATGAAAAGGGTGATTTCGATTCGAACGGGTGCTGCTACAACATGTGTGTTTTTTAGAAACCTCTACTTTGCAAGAACGCCTTGACCTCATCCACCCTATTCCCTCTGATCTTGAGTTTTCCGCTCGACTGAACTTTGGACGATTGAACTGGATCGAGGTACGTTGGGTTTGCGGTCCTATCCAGCAACTTGCGACCTGGTTTTGGTCTGAGGGGTTTCTTGTTGACCTGTTGTGGGAAAGGCGAATTTTCCAGGGAGGAGTCGGTGTAGGTTTCCGAGAGGAAGAGGGAGAGATCGGTTTGGAGGTCCGAGACGGAGCCTTGGATCTTGCGGATCTCGGTCATGATTCGGGTGCCGCCGTTGCGGATGTCGGTGTAGACGGGGTAGGAAGCTTGAGTTTTGCCGACGCGGGGGACGAAGTAGGTGTATTGCACGGGGGTAGGGGTGTCGGTGGTGGGTTCGAGGGTGGTTGGTGAGGGTGCGGTGGAGTTGGAACGAAGGGTGAGTTTGCTGCTGGATGCGATGGCAAAAGAGGTGGAAGCGCTTGGCCGAAGCGCCTTGGTTAGACTTGTGCGTGCGAATGAAGACATCCTCGATATTGCAATGCTGTTTGCCAAGAGAAACGGCGAGGGTGTTGGGATATGATGTAGTTGAGTTGCAAGATGCAGTGTACGAAATGACATTTCTTCCCGAACAGAGCGAAAAAATCCCAGAACGCCGCGGCGCCATCGGTTCCGTCTCGCCCACCCTTTTCGTCATTTTCGTGTTAGCATCTCACCGTAACACTCTGCTCCCCAAAAATCCAGATGCGGAGAAAGCACTCTTTGGCCAATTGGCCGACGTGGCAGCGCACTGCTCAACTGCCGACTTCCTGGAAGATCACCCGCGCACATCTCCCCCTCCCCCCTTCTTCTCATCGTATCCACTATCACCATCCCGGCAATCGTCATCCACACATACGAGCACAACCATGTCGGACACGATCAAGGAATTCGTCGAGATCCCGCAAAACTTCTTCCGTGAAGGCACCCACTTTGTCAACCGTTGCACAAAGCCGAATCGCAAAGGTGTGTGAACCTCCAACGCCTTCTCACCGCCTTGGGATCCTCAGGGCATCGTCGATGGAGGAGATGTACTGACGTTTGATCTCTCCTTTTACGTTTGGCAACAGAATACATCCAGATCTGCAGAGCGGTAGGATTGGGTTTCGTCGTCATGGGTTTCATCGGGTACTTTGTCAAGCTCGTACGTACACTACTTTGCCGGCACCAGGATCGGGTTTCTGCGAGCTCTTTTCAACGGTCGACCCTGTAGGGTTCAATTGAATGTTGAACCTGGAGCAGTGGCAGACGTTGCTCGCAAACAGAAGCGCTCCTGGATTGCAAAAAGTTGACGAGCGCATTGAACAGCAGTCAACGTCTAGCAGAAGGAAAGATCGCTAACATCAATACTTTCTCCGCTTTCATCCATCGTTTGGACGCTCGACAGATTCACATCCCAATTCACTCAATCGTACGTTGTCGTCACATCAGCTGCACACACGGCGCTCCACGCGTCCATACCTCTGCAGCTCTCCATTGCGAAGGATAGCCAAGTCTGGTGCTGACCCTGCCTTCTCCTCCCTCTTCACACTTCTCGCATCGATCTTGGCGCCGTTTCCGTCTATGTCGTCCTCGCTTTTGTCGTCACTGCAACAGCTTGTGTAAGTGTCTCTCGCTCTCGCTCATCTGGATGTATCGATCGGCGTATTGGATTTTACTGACACCTTTCTCTGCGTATTCGTCTTGTTCGGAAAAACAGTGGTGGAGCTTGAAGCGATCTCAATCACACACGTGCACGACTAGTTGCATCTCCTAGGCGGACTTGTAAATGCGACAGTAAAATCGTATGGCATTCGTAGAAGATATGGTTGAATGTGTGTGCGAGAAGGAGGGTGGGCGGTCGCTGTTTGTGCGATGGACGGTTGGTCTTGGAGTGAGATTCGTGAGCGTCAGTGTGTGCGGTGATGGAATGAGAGACGTTGACCCTGGAATCTCTACGAAACCGTCGACAAGCTGATTCGTTCGAGCTGCACTATCCATAACCATTCTAGCAGCTTGAAGGACGACTTCCTCGTTCGCATTCACAAGCGTTCCCACTCTCGCCGACTGTGCGAGAACTTGCAGCTCGAGCCATGCGAAATCTCTCCCTACCGGCTCCTTGACCCAGAACAGCAAATTCGGCCACATCATCATCATCGTCTCGTCCGTCGATTCTATCTCCCACACACCGCCCACGTACGCACTCACAACACACAACTCTTTCTTACTCCCCATCCGAATGCCATTCATCGCTCTCGAAACAACTCGAAAGCCCTGCCTCACAAACACTCCTTTCTCATCACTCGGTTGAAAACGTTGGGCCTAAAACGGTGTGTGCATTTTATATGACTCCAACTCCGCCTTATGCTAGACACAAGACGTCGCGGAATAGGGAGGAGGTGGTGGGGGCTAGTATAACAATCGCCTTTTACAGATCAACCGCCCAAAACAGAGCGGAAGAAATCATTGTTGAGGCTTTTTGAAAAGAGGGGATGATGCATGCAGAGGATGTATGTGTGGGGTGTGCGGAGAAGAGCGGGAATTTATGCCTTGAGAACGTACTTGCGGTTGGCAAAGTGGATCTCACGCTTGTGCTGACGCTCGGTGATGCGCGTGCGCTCGTGCTGTAAGGTAGAACAAAGTGAGGTGGGAGATGTCAGTGGATGTGCGAGGGAGAGGGTGGGTGAAGGCGAGCGAAGCAGTGCAAAAGGTGTGTTCGAGAGGAGGAGGTCGTCGATGCGCAAGTGTGTTGCATGGGCAGCGTTTGAGGGTGTGTGCCGTTCGCAAACATCTGCGGATCTTCCAGCGAGTAGACTGCTGTCCGTGACTTTGACCTCGCAACCACGGTATTTCTTGCACCTCCCAAGCGGAATCTTCGATGGCTTCACTGGCCTGCGATTGTCGTTGGTCTTCTCTGCTTCCACCCAGCCATACTTTGACTGTGGCATCCCTTCCAACGATATCTTCATTCACTTGTGCGCAATCCTCCTCCTCTGTCGATCACCTTTGCAACTGCTTGCTTTCCTCCAATTATACATACCTGGTTGAGCTTGCGGCGGATAGCACGGGTCTTCTTGGCACGCAGGTCGAGGGGGATCTGGCTCTTGCCCTTGTAGAACTCGCGCAGGTTGGCACGCTGCTTCTGGTTCATGACCGTGAGCACGCGGGCGATGTCCTTGCGCAGCGAGTTGATGCGCAGGATCTTGCTCGACGAACCACCGGCGACCTTCTGGACGCGGAGGTTGAGCAGCTCCGTCTTGAGCTCCTCGAGCTGCTTGGTGAGGTCCGTCTTGGACTTTGACTGGAGCTCGAATGTCTTGACAACCTGCAAGGCGGGGGTAAGTGACACGGCGATGAGGGGTGAAGGTTAGTGGACTGTAGCTGGAACGTGGAAGCGAAGAGGGTGATGCAGCGATCGAAGCGACAGGCGGAGCAGGTTGAGCAGCAGGCGAGGATGGTTGACGGTGGATAGCATCGCGATCAGAGGAGAGCGCGGGGCTGGTCGAGAAGTCTGTAGCACGACAGTTGTATTGGATGTGTCGGCTGGGTGATGCTAATGGATGCCGCTGGTGTGTTGACAGCGCAGCGATATTGGCTGTGCAACGAACACTATGACGACTTCTTGCAACGATGGAGTCAAGTCGACGCAGGGCATCGAGTTGGGCGAGCCCTCGCAAAGTATCCAGTAAAAGTTATCGCGGCAACTGGTCTGAGTCGACAATGTCTGCAAGTGCCGCTGCTTGACTTCTGGCTGTGGACACACCTGGTGAATCTTGCGTCCTACTCTGAACATGACTGCGACTGTCGGGTGTTCCAAGGGCGTGCATCGCACGAAGATGGATGCCTCTGAGACCTTCCGTCCATTCGACCTAATGTTGTCCGATCATACATTTATCCATAATCCCATCTGCTTTTGCGTTTCGTTTGAGCACCACATCAATCGCCACGGCGGCTTTCTGGGCGCTATAAGAATCTTTCCATATCATGGCGTGAGGGATCTGTATGCAAACGTCTATCGTGTTGAACATGCAGTCGGACAGAGGTTTGTATCGAAATCGAATGTTGGCTCGGCTGGCTTTGTCGCAATATGTCGTCTGCTGATGCTGCTATGTTGCTGTGCTGGGCTCCAACTGTCGCTCGTGTTGCTGTCATCACACTATACGTGCATGACACCTACCATTTTGATCAACGGAACGGGGGTGATGAGGTGATGAAAGTCTTGAGGAGGATGATAAAGTCGATGCAGCGGTGATGGCGACCAAACGTCGAATCCTCGCTCTAACTTGGCTGGTTGACTGTTGATGTGCCGGACGGGAAATGTTCAAGGCCGCAGACGGCAGACTCGACGAAATTTCACAAGTCTTCGCAGCGTGAAGCGCTCTGCGGTCGCCTGGTCTAGCTAACTGCAATTTTGGCTTCGGAGGCGAAGGATGCGAAATTCGAGGCAGGAGGGCCAGTCTCCGTTGGATGTGCAGGCGGCAGAGCAGTCTCGTAGGAGAGGGTTTTTTGCGTCTAGATGAGCATCGGCCGTGCGAATTTTTATCACGTGCAGTACTATTTTTAATTCCACTAACTTGTACATCATGGTTAGGCCTAACAATTTCACGGAACAAGTGCCACCCGCGCATCGTCCCGCTGCTTCGAATTAGGAGGCACTCCAGCCACAGAGCATGGTTGGATGACGACCTTTTTTGCGATTGCAATAGAAGCAGTACGTATAATACAGCATGAAGTACGGAGACAAGCCTGCGATCTTTGGATGGGGAAAAGGAAGGTGACAAGAGAGGCTAGTAGCGGAATCGCTAAGAGAGGCGGTTGCACCAGCGAGTCAGGCTAGAAGCAAGAGAGACGGAATCCCGGTGGAGGAGTACTCCTGGCGATGTCCTCATTGCGCCTGCCGATGACCTAGCTGGGCGATCGCGATAGCAGGGGAAAATGGGGGAAGATACAGTACAGGCTGGAAAGGAGAGTATACTGAAAAGAAACGAAATGTGACACCTCTGAGCGAGATTGGAAAAGAAGCAGCGGTAGACACCATCTCACATGCCAGCGACGGACAAATCGCTGGTCTTGTAGACAAGACGACCCGTCATCATGGAAGTGGGCAGGTCTTGTGCGTCAGACACGTCGCTCCCTCGTGAGCCCAGCGTATGCCGCATACCCATCGCCTTGCCCAGCCCGTTGTGTCCGAAGTTCGACTTGATCGGACTCGGGAACTGTCCCATCCTCGAAAACGATCCCAGCGACGAGGCGATTGAGCCCATGGACGTGCTGCTGTCCGAATGCGTCAACGACGGCTCCGCATGACCAGCCCTGCCCTTCTCGAGTGCACCTTTCGAGCTGATCGTGGGCAAAACACCGCCTTGGCGGTAGGTGGTGCCGCGCGAGCTGCGACCCTCTTCATTGTATCGCGTCGATCGATCTCCCGGCACGTGCGCTGGAACCGGGCTGGGGATGTTGGCAGAGAGAGCCGGTGAAAACGCCGGTCGCTCGAAACGCTTCATGGGGCTTCCATCTCCGCCGTGCAAGCTGGCAGCCAGACTGAGTGGCCTCAACTTGAGCGACGACGGGGAAGATGCACCGTCTCGTTGAGAGCCGTACGGGGAAAGGCGGTTGGCGGCGTTCGTGTCGAGCGGCGTCAGTCCACCTCGCGAAGGACGCAGTCGGCGTGGGACTGAACCGGCAGACGAGGCCGAAAAGCCAGAAGAGGCGGAGCTCGTCGATGCGGTCGGAGCATGTCTCGACTGCTTCTGATTTGCGACGGCATCCACTGGTGTAAGAGGAGGCGTGAGAGGTTCAATGAGACGGCTGTCCGACTGGGGCATGAGCACGAGGCTGTTCGGCTTCTTTCGACCGTATCCCAGAGAAGCTGCGCTCTTTGGACTGTCTTCCAGCATTTCCCTCTCCTCCTCGTCCTCCACCTCGTCCTCACTCTCGAACAAGCCAAGCCCCATGGTCTGAACTCCTCCAGAGATCTCTTCGGGAATGTTGCGCAGCGACGACGATTGCGGTATCTGCGACTTACGGAAGCGCTGAGCAGCCTGACTGTCGCGCTTCTCATCCTTGGCTTTGGCCTTGGCGACGTTCTGCTGAACTGTCGCCAGCAGCTTGGCGCGGCGGTCGGCGGCAAGGTCGAGATCCTCGCCTACGGCGTCCGACATGCACGTGCTGTTGCTCATGATGCTGATGGTCGAAGCAGCGACGCTGACCATGCTGTCGCGGTAGGACAAATGCTCCAGCTCCTCCTCCTCGTCCGCGAGAGCGCCCGAATCGGAGCTCGAGTTGGGTCGTGGCGTCGCCTCACCCATCTCTGGGCTCGTTGCTGGAAGCTGCTTCAGTGTCAATGCTGGAGCAGCGGGGGTGCTGCAGATGCTGGGCGAGGATGCGATGCCAAACTCGATTTGCTGATTGGATGGCGTGTCGTCGGCGACGAGAGGCGAAAAGAACGCGTTGGATGGACTCGTCGCTCCCTCGCGTACACTCATCGTGGGTGTGGCACCCCACTGACCGGCGTGCAGCATGGGCGAAGGCGATGCTGCAGAGTACAACGACTGTGGTGAGCCTCCCAAGCGACCTCCTGCAGAGCTGGGCTTCTTGAATCGCAGAGGCTTGGTGGGCTCCATCTCCTGGCCGTTGAAAAGGATGGCAGGGCTGAAGCCGAGCCCGGCGCCGTTCGTCTGTTGACCCAAGAGGGGACTGGTAGAAGGTCGCGTGGCTGCCTTGGCGGGCTTGCTAGGCTTCAATCTGGGTGTCGCGTCCCCACCAGCAGCGACGTCCATGGTTTCGCCGTCAGCAAAGATTTGCAAGCCATCACCGTCGGGCTTGGGGAAATGGTTGAGAGTGCTGAGAGGCGTGCTGCTCCTGGAAGCGAGACCGGGAGAGCTAGTCAGCGACTTGCGAGAGAGGCTCAACCTAGCCTTGAGAGACTCTGAAAAGCTAGGCTTAGGACTGAGGGAAGGCGAAGCGCCGCGCATCTTTGGGCTGAGCTGTGCGAGGATAGGACTGTCTGCCCCGAGACCAGGAGAGAGGTGAGCGCCGTCGACGGGAGGGTCGGGAATAAGAGCTCGGTGGTAGGGGCTCTTGAAGTTCATTCCAGCGGCCTTGCTCGTGCCTGCGAGAGGCAAGTGGTCGCTCGACTTGGCTTTGAGGTTCATGAGGCTGGCGCGGTTGACTTCGACCGACTCGACTTTGATGCTTGTGCTTGCTCCTCGGGCAGGCATGCCGTCCGAGGGCGGCAAAGGTGCAGCGCGAGGATGCATCAAACCAGCCATGTTGAGTTTAGGTCGGTCGAGTGCGCCCAGTGTCGAAGCCCTCTTGCGCATCTGAACGGAAGTGACTGCTTCGGACTCTTCATCCGCAAACACAGCTGGGAAGCTTGCCTTGGGCGTCTTGTCTTGAGACACCTTGAGGACAGAGACAGGCATCGGCGGGAGAGGAGGAACCGAGGCAGCAGGCACAATGTTGGCCTTGCCGAAGCTTGTGTTGGCCTCGTCGACGCTGGTCTGCGAAGAGCTGTGTGACATGGCATCGCTCGAGTAGGATCGGCTGGTGAGTGAAGACTCGTCGATGGAGGCGGTGCCTGCTTCGAGGTCGACCTCTGAACTCTTCGACGGCCGACGCAGGCCGTTCAGCATGTTGGTGAACGTGTTCTGTGATGGACTTTTTGCTGGGCCGAGACCGAGACTCAAAGGGCGGTAGGCCAACGTCGCATTTTCCTCTTCCACACCGAGATGCTGAGATGGTGCTGCGTCGACGTTCCTCATGTCGATGCAAATTTGACCGATCGAGCCAGTTGCGCTGTGGAAGGTCTCTGCTGCGGAGGATCCTGCGGTGTTGGTTGTAGTCTTGCTCGACTTGCTCTGCAAGGAAGTGTTCGAGGGCATCTTGTGCATCGACGCGCTGGATGGCGCGGGGGGCAAGCCGGCTGACGGTGGAGGCGTTGGCAGGTGAGCCCGAGTGGACGCGGACGAGGGCAAGGCAGAAATCTTCGTAGGAGGGCTCGCTCGGAAGCCTGGCAGTGTTGCAGTCTCTGGCTGAGGTGGCGATAAGGCCTCGATCAGGCTCTGCATGCCGGCGCTCATCTGTGGCCTTTGCGCTTTGCCGGTGTTTGCTGGCGGCGCCGAAGATGCCAGGCCAAGGGCATTGCTGTGTTCATCGAAAGAAAAGTCGCTCCGCAGCTGTAGCGACTGCTCAAATGATTCGTCGTTGCCAAAATCGATACCTAGGTCGAGGATAGGTGTGAGAGAAGGCTCTTCGGCTTCCTTCGCATTCTGCCTCGCCTGCATCTCGATGTCCGCGAGGGTTTCCATCTCTTGCGAGCTAGAGTTGGCGGAGAAGTCGGGCAGAACACCGAGACTGCGAAGCAATATGGATGGCACCGCGCTACGGGTGAGCTTCTTCTTCTGTTCCGGAGCATCCTCCTTTTTGTCGGCCGTGCTGGCCTTGGATGGAGCAGGAGACGGGATCCTCGGAGACTTTCCGTAGGCCATGGGCTTGAGCAAGATGCTGGGACCGGGCGACATGGTGAGCTCGGTTAGGCCTGGCGATTTTGGTGTTCGAGGCGTTCTGGGTGCTGGCAGATCGGCTGCAAAAGTAGGCGGCATCCTTGGTGACAGGAGAGCAGCCTTGGGAAGCTTCGGCGAGGGGAAAGGCCTCGTGGGGAAGAAGTTGTGCTGTCTCATGGTCAAGGCGGTCTTTTGTGCGAGCGACATCTTGGCGAGGTCGTGTTGAGCATTGTGCGCGCGTTCGGGTGCGAAGCTGAGTTGAGGCGCGCTGATGTCCTCGGTGGATATTGACTTTGCCTTGATATGTTGTGCGTAGATGGCAGCGGCTGAAGCTGGCGCAGGCGAAGCAGCTAGGAGGAGAGATTTGCGCTTCCTCGACTGAAGATATCGACGTAATGCCACGGCGACGAAGATGGCGGCAGCCACTACGGCGGTACACGCAGCAGCCAGGAGGGAGGTAGAGAGTGTCGAGAGACCGCCGCTGGAGCCAGCAGCAGCTGCGCCTGTGCTCGACATGCTGACCTGTTCAGCCCTCTTGACAGAGGTCGCGGTATTGTCTTGACTTCACTGTCGAAATTGTCGTAGCGCGAGCGATCCGCGGGCGCGACTGCTGAGTAAAAGTTGCGACGGTGATCAAACAGCGAGTGTCGAGAGGAGATACGGAGATGAGATGGTGATGTAAGTGACGGCAGAGCAGGTAAGAATGATGGAGATGAGAGAGGCCGTGAAGGAGACCAAGGCAGGAGACCAAGGCTGGCATCGAGGGCAGCAGCCGAAAGGTTCCTCAAATGACGGAGGTCGGTACAGACGGAGCTGCAATGAAGATCGCTGCAGTCATGTGTCTCAGCACAGAATGATGGAGGAACTCGAGGTCGTCAGTGATTAACGGCACCGTTGTCACCTGAACGTTGTCACCTGAACGGGAAAGAGGGTCCGGAGGCTGCACTACATCCGAGGCTTTGGCTACGGAACGAGGGAAGCGAGAGCGGAGAAGCGTCGATCGCACTCTGAAACCAACGACAGCTTGTACAGTACACGGTAGTACGAAGAGCTGCGCGATCTGATCAAGCGGGACCGTTCCAGCTGATGCATGGCGTCCGGCTTTGTCGCAAGAGGGAGCTCACCAGCATGGGAAGAGCTCCCGCACGCTGGGATAGCCTTGGAGCCGTGTGTCTGCTGCACAGCAGCATGCTGGTCCGAGTCCTCACGTTGCGACAGCAAAGCTATCTGCACAAATGGCCGCAGGACCCTGAGCTCCGAGCCGAATTGCTGCCAGGTCGATCATACTGCAGACATCTTCACGCTGTACGGTACGCTGAGAGCGCAACAGTCAGGCACGCAAGTTGCTTCAGACAGAGCCAAGGCCAAGCTTTGCGAGGAGGAGCTGTCAGAGAGTGAGTCGGAAAAGACACACTGCGATTGTGCCTGGGAAAATGTGGCTCGGCAGTGATGACCGAGATGCAGGCTGCAGCTGTCAAAAAAGCCCGAGCTGCCTTTTATGGTTCGCGGTCAAATCACGCGCTGGCCGTCGTCGACCCTCCGCGTGGACCACACTGTCGACCTTTCCTGACTGAGAGAGCGTGCTCTGCAAAACCCAGAGGACAGCAAGGGGCTGGAATTGACTGTTTGTCATCGGTGGAGCTGCCGAGCAAGGGTTGGCACATGTCTTTGCTCTGCTCTACTCGAGCACGTCTCTCGATCTACGATTTCAAGGGGTTGGAGCGCAGCTGGCAGCAGCAACGCAGCCGCCGAAAGACGCGTCCGAGAATTCAACTAGTCACATCGACTTAGCTCATGCTGACAAATTAGCATTTCTGGCATCTGCGTGATCAGAAGATTCAAGCCAAAGCCACACAGAAAGAAAAAAAGTGGAACTCCAAAGCGCTCAGTCGAATCTGTTGAATACCTTTGATTGCGACCACATCCATCATTTGGATCAAAACGGCAGAATGTCGGATCTGCGATACACGGCAGCTTCGCAACTGGAGCATTTGCACAGCAGATACACCGGCACCATCAATGCCGACACGGAGAAGCAGTGAGTGTCTCCGCTGCCAGCCCACCTCGCTCGGAAGTTTAGGCCTAAGTGCAAAGCGCCGTGATTGCTGACCCGATCTCCTTCTTGGTCTTTATCTGAACTAGCGAGTGGCTCGCACATCAGCTCAGGGATACAAGCGCGTCGATCGTGGGGCATCCGCCTTTGCTGTCCTACAATGCACTTGCCGACGGAGAGTGCAAGGCTCGCGTCAAGTTTGAACTGACCGAGAAGATGCTGCAACCTTGCGGTCCGCCCCCGCACAAGGAGGATGATTGATCGAGCACGCTACCAACCTATGATACCCCTGGACCATTCACGATACCCCTCGACGACGAGCACGACACTTTCGCTCGACTGTACTTATACCACACGCATGAAGGAACTACGACCTAAATCGTACTTTCTGCAGAACCAGTCCGACCCTGCTGTGCTGCCTTCCCATCTCCCCCTCAGCTTCTCCATCCTCCATTCCTCTCCTCCCGTCCCAATCGCTCGTGTTGAGCTCATCTCTCGTACGGTCCTGGCTTATAGAGTCACCCGCTGCCTTTTCCAATGGGCTGTCGTGGCGCTCGCTGGGACCAAGATCAACCTCCTCGATCACCGGATCATTTGGACAAGAAAGCTGACAAGCATCCTTGTCTGGAAGATTGGGTGATCGGGCCTGCTGCTTCCTGCGCAACTTGAACCTAGCGACGCTTTCCATCTCGCTGCACCTTAAAAGTGTAGCGGCCGGACGTCGGAGGGAGGCGGTAGTAGGGACATTGTCTTTTGAGAGTCGAATGGTTTTGATTCATCAATGTCAAAGCATTCTTTCTAAGTTGTTGTTCTGTCTGATACTGTGGGTGGGTGCGTGTGCGCTAGTGAAGGACTGCCGAGTCAAGCTGTGGGAGAGCAGGATCGTGGTCTGGTTCCAGAGCGGCAAAAGCAAAGAAGAAAAAATGAACTGCAGCACCTAGGATTCCCGCGTGGTCCCCCACCGCAGTACTGACTAGGCGGTAAGTTGCTTAACTTCGCAGATCGGACGGGATGCGGTGTTTTCAACTTCCTGTGGCCGCAGATGTTTCTTACTCTACCCTTCTCCATTATGTACAGTATGTCTGTGCCCATGCAAGCTTTCGCGGTGGTGTCAGCGTGTCCGCGGCATTTGGCAATGATCTGCTGAGGTACAATCTTTCGTGCAAAGGCTCTGTCTGCCACTTGGCGTCGCGTGGGAAATCCATGTTCGGCTCGATCTTTATTTCCACACCGAAGGGTCTGCCGAAGAATTTTTATGCTCGTCACTGCGATTCTGACGTCGACAATCACAGATCAGCCCACTTTTTCTTTTTCTGGCTTGTCACCGACGTTTGAAAAGTGCAGAGCAGCGTCGTACAATGCCGAAATGGCCGGGCCGACTGAAGGGTCGGTGAATGGATGACACAAGTGGCAAGACGCAGGGACAGTGTCGCAATCGAAATTCCGCGGCAATGCAAATCATAAGATTCGTCCTGGACGAGGGTCCGCCGGCAGTGCATGGGGTAGGAACCGTGATCGCCGTCCGTCTTCCGAGTCGACGTCGGATGATGATGAAGCGCTTGCATGTGTTCGGATGCCAGCCTGGAACGGGACCACCATTGTACCTCCCATCCTTTCTTTAGATCTATCCGCGATCGCAGTGACGCCATGTCCACAAGACAGGTTCAGCCATAGTGGTCTTCATCGTTTTGAGGCGAAGCTAGTGTTGCCGGAGCGAAGGTCCTTGCTAATTCGAAGTTCTTGAACAGGACCAGCTCGATGCCGTCCATCTGGTCCTTCGCTGGGCCGTCCGAGCAAGCCGGACCATCCGCCGACTGCCAAGATGAAAATCACCCTCCATCACCTTCGAGCTCCACCATTCCACCGCTCATCATCTGCGAAGGCTTCCTCAGTGCAGCCCAAAGCGTCGTCTGGGGCAACGAATTCCGCACCTATCTTGGCGTCGGCCATCAGCAGCTAGTCGACTCTGTCATCCTACCATCATCCTCGCCGCAGCCTCGTCGTCGTCGTTCGGGACTTGGCTCCTCCCGACCGGTCATATTCGCACCCATCGGACCGGTTTCCAGCCTTCACGATCGAGCCTGCGAGCTGTTCTACGCTCTCCGCGGAGGCACCGTCGACTACGGTCACACCCACTCCCTCACCCACGGACACTCTCGCTACGGTCGACACTACCACTCCCCTCTCTGTCCATCCTGGGGGTCATCCTCCCCCGACTCTGCATTCCTTCCAGCCCATTTCTTAGGTCACAGTCTCGGTGGTCCAACCATTCTCAAGTTGCAACAACTTCTTAGACAGGGGTTCTTCGATCATGCTCTTCCCAACATCCCCACGGGCTACTCACCTGCGGATCTGATTTTGTCGATCACATCGGTTTCTTCGCCATTTCGAGGTACACCGCTGGTGTACAGCTTGGGTTCGGAACCATTACCGTACCCGAAGGTGCGCATGTTTTCGTTCGGAGACATGCTTTCCAAGTTCATCCACATTGCGGCGTGGCTGGATCTGCCGTTCTTCGATGCACATGCTGACGCTTGGCATTTCTCACGCCGGAAATCGATCGGTCAGAGGGAGATGGCACCTGGTGGAGTCATTCCGGGGGAGGTGGAGGGAGTGGGAGAGGAAGAAAAGAGAAAGATCGCAGGGGTGAGGGGGATATTGAGACAGTTGTGGAAGAGCGATTGGGCCGGTGGTAGGGACTGTGCTCCCTGGGACTGTACGTTTGCAGAACGAGACCAGGACCGTTCTTCTCAAGGATGGGGTCTGGAAGAACCGAACAAGAAGAGGTTGGGAAAGACTTGGTACAGATCCTATGCCGGAGGAATGACTGTCGCGGACTCGAAAGACGAAGGGCCAAAGTTTCATCGACCGGAGACGTACTGGTCCTTGTCGCCGTTGACGTATACGAGTCACTTGATAGGTCATTTCGACTATGGCAAGTTGCAGCCGGTTCCGAGCTTTATGCACGAAGGCGAGAAAGGAGGTGCAGGTGTAGAAGGGTTGCATTCGAGCTGGTGGGAGAACGACGGTGTTGTGCCGCTGGCTTCACAGTATCACCCGTTTGGGTGCAAGGTGGGAGAGTGTCGACATTTTAAGGGGATGCCGGCTAGTCTGCCATGGGGAAAGAGGAGAAAGAGACCTCAGTCGATGATGCAATCAAGCACCGCGGCGATGGCGGGTCTTGTGTCGACGCCGTTAACGTCAACGGCCGATGAGACGGACACACTGGTAGATGTGTCGGTGGAAAAGGTGGACACGAGCGGGCAGGAAAGTGAAGGCCCACTGCTGCCACTCCCAGCAACGCAACCGATCGCCTCGAATCGATCCATGTTCGGAACAGCCCGTTCCGCCGCCAGAATAGCCTACTTCACCTCGCTCCGCGCTATCAATGTCCACGATCCACCACTCATCACACCCAGCGACGAAGAACTCCGATCGTTCCTCCCCGACCTCACACCCGCCACCGAGACCCTCATCTCTCCGCAATCCCCATCATCAACACCCGATCGCCCCGCCGACAGGATTTGGGCGGAGCAAATCGCACTGCAACGTCATCTGATCGACCCAATCGACAACCAGTGGTACACGTTCAAGATCGACAATCTCGACCACACGAGTCTGTGTCCCTTTTGGACGGGTAGCGAGGTTCAGAAGCAGTTTTGGACGGGCATGGGGTTGTTCCTGGCTTCGGTGGATCGCAAAGTTGGGTTCACGGTGGAAGACGAAGATGATGGTGATGATCGATGAAGAACAATGCTGTATATCCTCGATGAAGACGATACTCGAAATGTAGATGTCTGCGAAAGCATCGCATACTGTCTCCCCCCAACAGCGACTCTCGTCAAAGCGAAACCTCACTCAATCATTGAGAAGCTCAACCTCAGACCTGCCTTGCAACCCATGTTGTATGAACGCATGTGGAATCCATTTCGAATTTGAGCGGGAATCTTTCGGGAACAAAGAGCAAGTTTACATATCTAAACACCGTTACGACCACGTCTAAAAAAAGGAAAGGAAGAAAGAAAGAAAAGTCTGTGTACAGTTTCTGCCCCAAGCCCTCTCTGCTTCAAGCCAGCCCCAAGGAGCCGGCAGGGGCAGCGGGAGGAGCACCAGCGACGTCCCTCTCGGCCTTCAACGACATCATACCCGCATTTGGCGACATGTCCATCCTCGGGACTTGACTGTTGAAGAACTGTCGACGGTCGTCGGCCAACCCCTGAACGGCCATGTACGGGCTCGAGCGTTGGAACTGTTGCTGTTGTTGTTGTTGCTGTTGCTGTTGTTGGGGCTGCTGTTGTTGAAGGGAACCCTTGGCGTTGATGGGAGCGAGGTTGTGGCCGTAGTAAGCCTGTTGGTCGAGGTACGAATTTCCGGTACCCGAACGACCGCGCGTGGGAGCCTTGGGCATTTTCAAGGGGAAGGGCCGAGCAGCGTCCTGTTGGAGGAACGTTCCCGAAGCGCTAGGAACGGTAGGTTGAGGAGGAGTGAAGCTCGACATCTTGTTACCCGAAGGCGACAGAAGCGGAGGTTCCGAACCGGGACCGTTCAGAGGAGTCCGCGGTGACATGGTGCTGCTGCTCGCACCTGTCGAACTCATCGTAGCCAGACTGCTATCCGAGTGCAGACGGTGGTGTGCGATACCGTTGGGTGCCGAAGAAGCAGACAGGAAGCTGGCGTTGGAAGCCGAAGAGTGCAGCGGTGGACTGATGAGCGACCCAGTCGATCCGTTGTTGATCATGCGTCCCGCGCCGTTATTGCCGTAGACGCCGCCAAGGTAGCTTCCGTTGGAGGAAGAGTTCAAGCTGGGCAGCTGAGACGTGGACGACTGAGGCGTGCCCGATTGGGGGAAGCGACCTACGGGGCTGAGCAACGAACCGGGCTGGTTCACTGGCGCGGAACTACTCCGGTCGTAGGCGTGGTGGGCGCCCGTGTCCTGCTCGTAGCCGTAGTACTGGTTGTTGGGTTGACCATACCTCGCTCGCAGACCCTCGCGATCATCGACGTTGGGGCTGGAGGCGCTGGAAGGCCACGTGTTGTTGGGCATCTGAAGCGACATGGGTGGACGAGGCGTCAGCACCTGGGTGCCAAAAGCTGGGCTCGAGAAGCTCGACTCTCCACCAGGCGTGCTGCCCAGCATACCGTCGCTTCGACTCGACGGCGAGATGTGTCCGTCGCGACCGTAGCTGGACATGGGACCAGAGACGGAGAGCGACGGGTTGGTGGGCTGCGATCCGGTGGTGGCTCTGCGCTTGTAGGGACCACGCTTGATGCCACGACGTCTCTCCTTGCGCGCGCTATCTTGGCACGTGTCGACGAGACCGTACTTGACGCAGCGACCGCAGGGGCGACCCTCGTCGCACTTCTTGCAGGCCTTTTGACAGTTGGTGCAGGCGTTCTTGACCTGCTTGCGTTTGGGTCGCAGACCGGCGCCCTGGAGGGCGGCGTAGCCGTGCTGATGAGCCAAGAGGTCCTGATGATGACCTTGGAATTGACCGTTGGACATCATGTCCGGGTGGTTCATCTGGTGGGCGGCGTACAGCTGACCGTTGGGGTCCATATGAGGCGAAGAAGTGTGGTGCGAGTAGTAGCCGGCATGCTGCTGCTGTTGCGACGCGACTTCGCTGGGGTGGTGCTGAGCAGGGTGGCCGTAGAAGCCTTGGCTCGGGTAGGCGAACTGGGATCCGACCTGGGAGGCGCCGTACTGGCTCATCTGCTGCTGCTGTTGCTGATGACCGTAGGCAGGCGGAGGAACGGGCGAGCTGGAGTCAGGACCTTGATTGAGGTGATGCGGATGCATGGGTGGTGCCATGCCGTACGTCATGCTGCTAATGGGTGCACCTGGTCGACCAGACATCTGACTATCTGAACGTAGCAAGGGCGAATGCGTCGCAGTAGTGATGATGTACGCGTACTGCTGAGATGAAGGTGCGCTTCCAATGGTCCGATCAATGGAGGAGATGGTAGACGTGACAGCAACAAGGATTGGTTGATCGTTGACAACAACGACGACGTGGAGAAGATGTTGTTTAGGGAGGGCGGAGAAGCTAACAAAGGGTCGTCAGAATGAGGAGCGGAGCATCAGGGGACGAAGGTCGGAAGCGGATTGGTTGGGATGAAGTGCTGGATCTATAAGGGAAGGTAGACGGAGTTCAAGTTTGAGAACGGACATGAACAAGCGAAATGCAGAGGTCAACAGGGAGAAGGAGGATGGAAGGGGCAGTTGAGCAGAGGATCGAAACAGGTGGACCCCAAGTCGGCAATGAGGTTTGGCAGTGTCGGAGACGGAAGTCTGGAGCTCGTGGAGCCTCAGGCACCACGGGCGAGACAGAGGGAAAGCACCACGAGAGGGAGAGGAAGAGAGAAAGCGACGGACATGCAGAGATGGAAGCGGCGGAAGCAACAACATGTGCAGCGCAGCAGCAGCAGCAGCAGCAGCAGCAGCATCAGCAGAAGAGATAGGTTGAAGCCGCTTTTGCTTCGATGTGAGAGACGAGCGGGGAACTCAAACTGAAGGGTCAGAAAACGTTGGGACTGCAGACTAACAGCATACATGAGCCATCGCGGCGGGCAGATGGACACAGAGGACGAAGACGACGGAAGCAGCTCGCTGGTCTGTTGACGGGCATAGTTCTGATTCTGGACGATGCTTCTCAGCATCCAGACCAAGGTCGGGAAAAGGCCACGAGAAGGTCGCGCAGCCACGAGGCGTCGAGGGGATGGAGAGAGGCAATTCGTCAGGGATCGAGTGCGCCGACGTGTATGTTGAGGATTTGCGAATTCGAAAAGCGGGCCAAATGGGCGAGACAACGACGATGTATGCCCTCTCCTACGACGCGGAGTGGGGCCGCAGCATCCTCGACCAGTGTTATTCACTGAATGTGCTTCAGTGATCCTCCTTCTGCTTAAGCCCCCACTCTTCCGTCCATCAAGCGATCGAAGGTAGTTTAGAAGTCTGATAGTACACGGTACGACATCTACGGGAACACAGTTTTGCTTTTCGATCATGATATTTTTTCCCTTTCCTTTTCCTGTAAGCTGCCTCGACCGAAGGCAGAGCGAGCGAGTCGTACAGGATGAGACTGATGGCACCGCGCCAGTGTGAGCGTCCAAGCCACAAGCCATCCAAATGTGGCATCAGGAACAAACCGATGCGCGTCGCACACTGCTGCTGTGTGCAGCGCAGAGGGTGAGGCGCAAAGTTGCGCAAAAACGCGCTCGGGCTCAAAGCACTGTAAATGGACCGAGACAGGGCAAGGGCGAGAGCGTTGCGGTTCAGTTACGAGACAGTTCCTGAATCCTGAATTCTGATTTCTTCATTTCTACCGAGATGGGGACGGGCACAATTCGAGAGTCTAAATCACTTCCACGGGCTTACCCGGGCCAGACTTTTTCCAACGCTATTTTGATTGCACTAGCGCAGCAAAGCCGAGAGGGGTGTGGGAGTGTGGGAATAAATCAAGAAAACAAGAAAGAAAATGCAGAGCTCTTTGTGTGTCAGCCACATGGCATTGCGATGCCGCAGGGTTCACACACACTGCTCGGATGCACGAATACAGTCCGGGTCAGAAGGAAATGGCTAAAAAAAGAAAGAAATATGTTTTGACTCTGGCTCGTGATGCCACGCATGCAGGCGAGCAGAAGACATGGGAACAAAACGCCATCGAGACTGACGGAATTTCTTCCCTTGCCGGTCCAGCTTCGTCTGAAAAGCCACCTCCCGCCGCATGCTTCACGATCTCGACCGATCCAGGAACCTAATTGCACGAACTCGCGGGGGGGCTGCCACTTCTGTTGTAGAGTATAGGTTGGATGGCTGTCTCGGCGAAGAGCAATTTGTGTACGTCTTCCTTGCTCCTTTGCTTCCGTCACCGTTCTGCCCGAGGTCTCCTGGAATGCGCGTTCTTCGGCCTACCTTCTGTCGGAGGCTGCAGCGTCGGAAGAAGCAGCGGCGATGCTGTTGGCAAATCACAAGCCGCACACCACTGAGGTGCTGTCCGTTCGCAAGGTACAACAAGGCTGTCCGAAGTGTCGTGTGCCTGCATGATTGAATGCTTCGCCTAGTGTGCTCGTCTTGTTGCGATTGTGGAGACCGCAGTCCTCAGAAGGCCAAGCTCGAGACAAGACGAGGCCGGGCCCATTGCATCCCCTGCAGGGTGTGTCGACTAGTGATGAGACAAAAACGGAAATCTGTCGCTTTTCTCAGAGAGGGAGGGAAAGAAGGGAAGAAAAAAATAGTTGAAAGAGGAAGAAGAGGAAGTGGCGCACAGCTCAGGGCATGACAAGCTGAAGTTGAAATTTTGGTTCAACTCGCTGTACGAGAGCAGAGTTCAGTCGCGGGACTTGAAGATATTCAAAGAAAAAGAAGCAGGAAACCCCTCTTTTACTCGCGTTACTCTCGTGACAATCGAGCAGTGCTGCTCACGACAGAATTTATAACAAAAAAGAGACGATTGGAGCGGCGGAAGGCTAGAATCCGAGCGCGACCTGCGAGATAAAAGCGGTCGAATGCCGAGGCGCCGGCGAATCAATCTTTAGACTTTCTCGTATGTGTCTCTGCTTCGGCCTCATCGCGCTATGCTGTCTCAACCGTTCGCTTGCGGACGATCGGCTCTGGGTTCGCTTGCGTGCTGATCCTGCGCTTGCCACGTCAACAGAAATGTTTTGTCCTGGATCAAGAGTCGAGATAGAACGGTGTGTGTGCGAGTGAAGATACCATGGTATTTCGTCCAACTCCGTCGATACCACAAGAGTGTGTACGGCGTGTGAGGTCATCGCATCAACTCAATCCCCGCCGACCAGTAGTACCAAACGCGTCTTGGACGTGTCTTAGACACCTGAGGAGACGCAAGAAGCACCCGCAACCGGATACGATCTCGATACGAAAGGGCGGGTGACTTCCCGTGTCGGTCAGTGTGGCCAATTGCTCAGCAGAGAGAATCGACGAGATCGCGAAAAGGTCAGTTGGACATCTGCGTGTTGAAACGGTGCGAGAGTACAGCGAGGCTAAAGCGATCACAACTCCCGAGACGGATCAAGGCACGGGAGGCTCTACTCTGCACTGGTCGATCTTGGCCGTTGAATCCAAACACGGACGGCTCAATCGCGATACAAACGCACCATCCCAAGCAGTGCTATCTCCGTCGTCTGGATCGTCATCGTCGTCCAACATCCATCCATTCAGATGCTCGGCGAATCACGCTCTTTCTCGATCCGAGGAGGGAAGCGAAATTACGGCAGTATTGACACGTCAGGCAACCTAGCAGAGTCGCGATGCAGCTTCTCGTCTCACTTTGACCCCTGAGAGAGGCCACACCGAGGTCATGTCGGTCGATCGGGCTTTGAGTCGAAGCATCCTAATGGCAGCGTGAAAGGAAGCAGTTACAGGAGAGTTTCTGCGTGCAGCAAGCAGAGGCAACGTGAAGAAGTCCAATTTGGGATCGGTAGCCATTCCGGTCTCGATGCACCTCGGTGTTGACGCTGCTTTCGAAGCTTTCTCTTCCGTTGCGATTCTGTCAAGCTCACTGTCTCGTTCCCGCCCGTCGGATTCGTGCTTGGCCGGAGAAGCTTTCAAGAAATTAGACGTGCTTTGATGTGAAAGATCCGCTTTGGGTTCCGAAGCAACGCAGTGGTTATGTCAGTCCGGTCCCCGCCTTCCCCGAGGTAAGCCAGCAAGAATGGTTCTGCTCTCATGCCTTCTCTCGCCGAGGTTGACTGCATCGCCGGTTCGTGACTCGCTTTCGAACGGCCAAACAAGTGCTGCATCGACAACCAATCCCGCTCTACGGCCGATACGAGACCATAGCTCCCTCCGAACTCGTTCCTTCGCGATCGGTGAATACCCTGCTTGACAGTAGAGGAGAGTAGGATGATCGTGCAGCGGGCTGACGCAGTGGGATTCAAAATCCGGCCTCGCTAATAGCGCTCGGAGACAGAAGAACCGCCAGAGACACATGGCGCGAGCTCCGCCAACCTCGCTTGGATAAAGGATTGTCAGGGTTCTCAGAGCGGAAGTTGATGCCATGTGTGCGCGACTCCGACTCGAGTCGCCTTCGTTCATTTCTGTTCTTTCTTTCCATGTTTGATTTTGCGATGCGCGACCTGACTTTGGTCGCGGAGAGCTGATGCTTCCTAGAGAGCTCCGATGCTGTCCTCCTTTCATTTTACATCTTGTCCGAACCTGCTCGTTCTGTGAATACGCAAGGGCATTGCTTCGCGGAGTAGCGTCAGTTCAAAAGGCTTCACAATTGCGGTCTGCTCTGCTCATGCTCCAAGGAAGGCTTGGCATCGGGATATCGGGGCATTCGGCTGCTGCGATGAGTGTGCAACTCGGTGGTTCATCTCACGGGATCCAGCCCGCAATGCGCCTATGAAGGGAGAGGGTTGGGAAGAGCGCCGACCGCAAGGCTCAGAGCGGACCTGAATTCTCTCTCCGTGTCAATCGCTTACATCGAGATAGAGATCGAGAAGAATGGGTAAGCCCCCAAATGGCGTTGCAAAAAGAAACCCGGTGATGATGGGTGATACAAATCTGAAGCCGCTCGAGCCAGCTTCTCAATCCAGACCGACACCCGCCAACTCGTCCACCGTCTTCTTACGATGACTCTTCGACTTTCTCTTCGACGCTGCGCCTTTCGACGGCGAGGGTGTCTGTTCGCCACCTGCCATCGAAGTGTCGCCGTCCAGCTCGAGCGGTGTCAGACGTGGAGAAGCCGCTTCGCTGATACGCCCGCGTTTCGAGCCGCCTGCACCTCCACCTCTTCTCTTGATCTGAGGCTGCGGCGTCGATTCGACCGTGTCCGTGTCGCCTTTGCTCGGCGGTCGCGCGCCGAAGAAGTCGTCTTCGTCATCCTCGAGCGACCAGGCCGACCCGACGGGCGCAGGCGACTGGGCAGCAGCGGCAGCGCGATCCTTGTTCAATCGGCGTTTGGCGTGCGAGGCGCGGGCGAGGTCGGCCTTCTCCTGAGCCGTCTGTGCTTCCTCTGCCTGCTTCTTGCGCAGCATCGACTCGGCCAGCTCGTCATCGTCCAGCAGCAGCGAAACGATCTCCTGCGGCTTGGCCATACCCGTCTCGCTGTACGCCTTGGTGCCCACCACAATATCCTGCACCTCCTTCTTGTTTCGAGCCAGCCGGACGATACGCTCGTCGATGGTGCCCTTGGTGATGAGTCGATAGACAGTCACTTGCTTGGTCTGACCCAGACGATGCGCTCGGTCCATCGCCTGCGAATCGTTCGACGGATTCCAGTCGTGGTCGTAGAAGATGACCGTGTCGGCGGCGGTTAGATTGATGCCCAGACCACCAGCCCTGGTCGACAGCAAAAAGATGAACAGCTCGGGCTTCGTCTGCCAGTCGGTCACCATGTCACGTCGATCCGAGATCTTGGATGCACCGTCCAGTCGCAGGTACTTGTACTGCCGGTAGATGAGGTATTCCTCCATCAGATCAATCATCCTCGTCATCTGGAAGTAGATCAGCACACGATGTCCGTTCGCCTTGAGCTCGCGCAGCAGCACGTCCAGCTTGGCGAGCTTGCTCGAATCGACAATGAGCTTGTTCATCTGCGGCACCTGCATGCCGTTGTATGGCAGCTGATCGATCGATGAATCGCGCATGACACCCTGAGGAGGCACGTCGGGCAACTCGCTCTGCATCTCTTCGACGCGCTGCAGCGATTCACGACCCTGCGGCGACAGGCCGAAGAGCGTCGCCGAGACCTGCGGGTCGCGACTGAATCGCTCCTGGGCTTGCATGAACGGACCGTCGTTGCTGTACAGCTTGATGGGAGGCGCCACGGCAGGAGCTACTACGGCCCGTGCGGAATCTTTGGCCAGATACGAGTGACGGCGATAGTCCGCTGCCACTTCCTCGAGAGGCATCAGAAGCGACGGCGCACGTCCAGACACAGAAGGCATCGGACGCAGCATTTTGGCGAGCGGACGGATTGATGCAGCAGCAAAGGCGTCGTCGCTGGCAAACGCTTCGATCGAGCGCCAGCGACGCTCTTCCGCCGCAGCCGCCAAGATCCTCTTGATGCCCGTGCTGTGGAAAGCCTTCTGTGCCTCTGCAGGCGAGACGCCGATCAGCGGCAAGGATGCGAACGGCGAGCGCTGGTGCTGTAGCGACTCGTGGATGTGCGGAGCGCGCCAGATATTGAACAAGTTCTGCAAATAGCCCGTGTCGAATCCTTTTCTGCTCTCGTGACCGGGGATGTCGAAGATGCCACCCTCCCTCACGAGGAGCTTGGGCACCTGCATCTCGATCAGCGACGTCGTTGAGTCGGGCAGGTTGAGAAGATCGCCTTCGCGCGCCAATGAGCCCGAACGAGCAAAGTCGGCAAGGGCGAAGGGCGCTCGAACATCGGCTCGCTCGAACAGCTCCGGGTGGTTGCAGACCTTTCGGAATTGCATGACAAGGTTCATAAGACTCTTGAGACCGGCCTCGTCGTTGGAGGTGGCCCGGTCCATGAGTTCAGCCACTGAGATGTTGGCACGCAGACCACGATACAGCATCTTCTGCCGCGCGCTGAGATCGCAGAACAGATCGATCTCGATCTTGTCTCCCAATTCGTTCTGCACGTTCTTCTTAATTCGACGAAGCATGAACGGCTTGAGGATCATGTGGAGACGTCGCAACTGATGTTCGTTGAGCGTGCCCTTCTGCTCGGCGTGACTCTCAATGTCCTTGGAGAACCACTCGCTGAACTCGTCGTGAGAGTCAAAGAGCGACGGCATGATGAAGTGAAGCAGCGCCCACAACTCCTGCATCGAGTTCTGCACGGGTGTACCAGTGAGGAGAAGGCGGTTTCGGCAGTTGAAGCCCAGCAACGTCTTCCATCGGATACTGCTCGACGACTTGATGGCTTGCGCCTCGTCCAGGATCATGTACTGCCACTTGACGCGCTGAAAGTACTTTTCGTCCGAGACGACGAGCTGGTAGCTGGTGACGAGGACGTGGAAGGGCGCGTCGCGGTTGTACGAGATCTGCTTGCGGTTCCAAAATTTCCGCAGTACAGCACGATCCTTGACGTTGCCCCAGTACGGTAGCGCCTTGAGCGTGGGCACAAACTTGCTGATCTCCTGCTGCCAGTTGTGAAGCGTCGAAGCAGGTGCAATGACGAGGAATGGACCCCAGATGTCGTGGACTTCAGCCAGGTACGCCATGAGCGAGATGGACTGCACCGTCTTACCGAGACCCATCTCGTCGGCAAGGATACCGTTGATGCCTTGCTCGTACAAGTTGGCGAGCCAGTTGAGACCCTTGAGCTGGTACTCCTTGAGTTGGCAGGTGAGCATCTTGGGCTGCTTGATCTCGGTCTGGCCCATGGAGGTCGGGTTGAGGAAGTTCATGTCGTCGGAATCGAACGCCTTGCCGAGATCCTTCTCCTCGATCTGTTTGCCCGGGCCGGCGTCCAAGCCTTCGCGCTCCCGTGCAGCAGCTTCGTTGCGCTTTCGCTCTTCTGCCGCCGCAACATCGAAAGCCTGCGCCTTCTCTTTTGCGAGGCGCACGGCCTCCTGCGCATTGCGGGCGGCATGGGCGCGCAGGTTGCTCTCGTCTTCGTCGTCAAAGTCAATGTCATCGAGCTCGGCGAGCCTGGCTTCGGCGTCCGCCACCGCGGAGTGCGGATTGATGGGAGGGACGGTGGCGTCGGAGGGCTGGGCATTGGGATCGATGATCTTGCTGCTTCCCGCCGTCTCTTCCGACTCCTCGGCTTCGGCGGTCTTGAGCTTGCTGCCGACGAAGTGACTGTAGAGCTCGGTCTGCGAGATGAGGAAATTGAGCTTGCGCGCCTGACGCTTAGCCTCGCGCATCTCTTCCTCCTTTTTGGCCTTTTCGACGGCCTCCCTCTCGGCCTTCTTGCGCAGCTCACGCTCTTCCTTTTCGTTCCTCTTCCAGAAGACGAGCACCTCGCGCATCACCTTGCGCGCACGAAGCTGAACGTCCTTGACCGTCTTGTTGTTTCGCGCCGCACCTCGTTTGGCTTCTCGTTGAACAACGCTCGACAGCCTGCGCCAGTACATGGCTTTGCTTGAAGCGCTCTGAAGGACGGTCCTGTACACCTTGGGCACATCGCGCTTGGCAATGGTAGTCCAGATGCGTCGGTGGGCATCCTCGAGCTGCTGTGCACGTCGTGCATCGATCGGGACTTTGCCAGCAGCATCTAGGTCGAGAGCAAAGCTGACATCGTCTGGAGTAGGAGATGCCTGTCGGGAAGCAAAGGCAGAGTCGTCGCCGTCGAAGTTGGCTCCATAGTCTGCGAGCATCGAGTCGACTTCCGAGCCAGGTGCAGGAGAAAGACCTGAGCCGTTCTCGAGACGGCGCTTCTTGCTGCGAGGGTCTGCGGCGCCAAGCTTACCCTTGCTGCGCTTCAGCTTGATGATTGACCGGGAGCCGTTGCGAGCAGCCATGTCGGCGAGCGCAACATCATCGCTGTCGTCGTCGTCATCACCCTGAAGAAGCTCGTCGACATCATCTCCGGCACCACCTCGGCCTGCCTTCCTCCTTCTTGCCGCCGTGTTCTGTTGACCATCGCTGAGAGTGCCAAGAAGCTCGAGTTCGATCTCGTGGTCGCGCTGTTGACGCACATGATCCTGGCGAAGCTCCCTATCCCTCTTTGATGCTTCTTGCTGCTCTCGGAGGCGGACCTGTCGAAGCATGGCAAAGTGACGGCTCTCGTAGGCACGTGCAAGACGCCGCTCGACTTCGACATGCTTCTCGTTCAAGGTGGCGACAAAAGCATCTTCGATAAGGCGCTGACGCTCGCTCATGTCAAAGATGTAGTCGTCGAGCTCGGCCTGCCAGAGCGGCTGGTTCTCCTCGTTGGACAGATCGCTCTCCCAGCCGTCAGGGTCGCGGTGCTTCTTAGCGGGGGGAGGTGGCGCAACAAAGCTGGCATTATCCTTGGACGCCGGGATGGGATTGTTGCGTAGCTTGAGGTGCGTCTTGGCAGGTGTTACCTTTGCGGTCGATGAAGCTGAGTCGACCTTGCCATTGGCTGCGACCGGATGGTCTTCATCTGCAACCGTCGCAGGCTGTTCAAGTATCGGCTTTGCCGACACCTCGACAGCCGTGGATGCATGCAATGCAGTCGAAGCAGGCTCTTCGCGCTTGACTCGGACAGGTAATTCGTCGTCTGCATCAACGGGACGTTTGACCGACTTTTGGCTGAACTGCTGGCGATTCGACCTGTCGGTGCGTTGTGCCATCGCTTCCTCGTCCTCGGGATCGGGGGAGAAGTCGATTCTGGATGCTCGAGCCTCACGGCTTGGGGAGTGAGCTCGTGGAGGTCGTGCCACGCTGTACGATGGCTCTCTAGGATGGTCGAATGCGGCGCGAGACGCGTGGATTGGGTCAAGCGCCGCTGCCGGGTGCAGATCGTGCTCGGCGGCCACGCTCGACTTTGCCGGACTCGAATGCACAGAGGATGCAGCGGCGCCGTTGGCAGATCGATCGTTGAGCATGTTGAAGATGGACATGGATGGTTTCGGTGGACTTTCAGGCTCGGGGTAGCGATCGGATGGCTCCGGATACTCGCGCGCCGTGAATTCCCTGCTGCGATCCAGCGCGCTCGCAACGGGCTGCGGCGAGAGTTGCGGCGATCTGGGAGCGCCGCGGCGATACGAAGGCTGAATCTCGCGAGAATAGGCATCGTACTCGTCTCGTTGGAAGTGCGGCTCGTCGGCGTGACGAACGCTTGGTGCAGATCGAGGATCTTCTCTGACGCTGTATCTTTCGTAAGCGGCAGGTCCGATTCGGCGCTCGTGATACTGCTCGGACCGGTAAGGGTCTGGGTAGGCGTGGCGAGAGGCAGAGACGTATGGATCCGACCGGGCTTGTTCGAATGACCTCCGCTCGTCGAGCTCTCTGTAGGCATCCCTGTGCACAGGCTGGCGACGGTGATCTAGAGCGTACTCGGGGTGCGCTTGCGTTGGAGCACGATGGTGATGAATCTCGTCTTCGTAACGGTAAGCAGGCTGAGGCGGTCGACGATAGTCGGGTGGTGGAAGTGGAGGCGTTGGAGCACCATACGATGGACCGGATGTGTAGGCGGGGTGGACCCGTTCAGGCAAGCGGCGGTCGTAGCCCTGCTCAGGATAGCCGGCGTCATATGACCGCGACGGAATGGAGCTCTTGAGGCCCCTTTCCCTTTCCCTGTCGTATGGTGCATAGCCTTCCGCTGGGTAGGCGGCTTGCCGACCAGCGGCGTACCTGTAGGCAGAGCCTCGATCCTCGCCGCTCATGACCTCGAAATCAGTGCAGACAAGGGGCAAGCCGTCGGCAGATTCGACGGTGAAGTGGTCGCAGCCAGAAGTGCTGGAAGGCAAACGATGAATGCGCCTATCTTATTAGCAATTTTCGCCGCGGAGCTCGAAGACCAAGACCTTTCGATGATGGCTGCCTAGCCTCGACCCAAAAGCTGCGAATCGGCGTGGACAGCAGCGATGCACCGGCTAGCAGCTGTGCGGTTGAAAAGAGAGGAACAGGTGGTGGGGTGCTGAGACCAGCGATGCCCGTACAGAACAGTGGTGATGGTGGTGGTGGTGATCGTCGTGGTGGTCGTGCACCTTGGGTGGGTGTTCGAGCGTCGTAAAAATGCCGGTAGTGGGTGATCGCAGAAAATGGAATGCTGCGCAGCTCCTCGGCGTGTGGTGTGACGTGTGGTGTGGGTGTGGGTGGCTGCGATGCGACGATGCTTCCAGCAAGGCGTGGAAATGCGACGAGCGCGGTGTGAGCGAGCCGCTTGCTCGTAGAATGCGCATCGATCGCTCGAATCGACCTTTTTGTTGCCCTGAGCTGCGTGACTGAACGGACTCTGGCTGACTGGCATTGGCTGAGCTTCCGAGCTTCCTTCTGCAGCAGCGTTTTGGACTTGGCCGAAATATATTATCAATATCGCTGCTGCTGCTGCTGCTGCAGCAGCATTCGAAAATCTGGTATCCGCGACGCTCCGTTCGCCTTTTGCCGGCTAGCCCGCGACACTATGGAAGGGTCGACTCGGCCACACCGCGTACGCCAGATCTCCTCTTTTCTTCTGTTTGCCTCGCTCCTTCTCTTTCTCCGTGTTGCCATAGTCGCTCTCATCCGTTGCTCCAAAGCATCGGCAATGAGGTGTTGCCCTCGTTCACCCTGTCAATAGAGTGGCCTGGTGTCGATAGTGAAATAAGTCGGATCCCATCAGAACTTTGATTCGCGTGATTGGCTCGCTTCCGCCAATATACTACCATATACATTGTATGCGACCCTTCGCCTCGCGCTGCTACGCCTGCATTCTTCATTTTTCCTCGCCTTATTTGATCCCCTTTTTTTCGACAGCATCATCCCAACCCGTCACGCTCCTCACGAGTGGCGTTGCGCCCAATTTTCGACCAAAATTCCTGTTTCTCTCGCGCGTTGAGCTTGATGGGGGGGAAGAGGGATGGGAGGCTCGAGGGCCGAGCGTCGGTTGGCAGAGGTCCAGCGGTTCGACGCTTGCAACAATGTCGTCCGAGATGAAACGCTGTTCTTCTTCTGCGAGCCGAGATGAGCTCGACCCGACAGACGACAGCATGAAACAGAACCGTACGGCGACCCGCCGTCTTGGGCCGGTCGTGGTTGTTGGTTGCCGACGAGCCTTCTTGTCCACGAGCCGCAGTGTCCAGTTCGGCTGGATCGGCTAGCTCATCGTCGATCTTCTGTCGATCCTCCTTCTCGCGGAAGTACCGTCTAGCAGCGCATTGGCAGCATCTTCGTATCGCCTTCGCATGAGCTACCTTCAGTGGTTTGCTCGCCTCACTTCAATGCAGCTCTGCTCCCGGCTGTAAAGTCTGGAGAGCGGTGTGAGCGGTTTCGTATACCCTCTTGGCCTCGATGATCAGTTCAGCACAGATCGCCTCAAGGCAAAAAAGGCACACAATAATTCTCGCGACCAGAAATTGGGCGAAGAAAAAGGGGACGATGAAAAACGTGTCAAGTGGGATCGGGGGAACGATGAGCTCATCATTCGATATACGATATATCAACAGTTGAAATGTTAGACCTGTTGTCTGAGCAGTAACCTATCAATGGGAAGAAAGACGGTCGCTCAGACGGCGCGAACGGAAGGCGAGCGTCATAATCGCTGCACGGTATCACAGGACGAGCATGGAGGTCGCCGTTGCGTCCTCGTCGACGCCCAGGCATGCAATCCGGCCTAGTAGACACACCGCTCCGCGCACAAGGCATGGATCTCATCATGCAATGGTGGAACGACGAGGGCGGCAATCGTGAGCCACTCGAGCCAAGCTGAAAAGCGCAATACACTGCATCCGACCGCCTGTCCCCAGCCACTCAGGCTGGTAGGTTAGTGCAAGTATAACCTTCGGGAAGTGCATAGCACCGCGGGAACGCTCGCGCGATGAAGGGGAGGGTACAGCAGACAGCCAAAGCGAGTCGACTTGCGAGCGAATTTCAAATATGGATGGGAACACTGCAAGGCCACACAGAGGGACATGGTCGGCGCCCAAATCATCAAAGGGCCGGGTCGAGATCGTTCCGATAAATGGCGTCGATTGCGGCTCAGCGGGCCGAACTGTTTCGTCATTCACGGGATGGATAGACACCATCTCAACCTGTGAGCACAGCCTCTCTATGCACGACGACGACGCCGCACGCCGCCCCCGTCATACGCAGCAGAAAAGGCAGTCGCACAGTGATTTATGAAGCGTGCTGACGATGTCCGTGCACGGGTCGAGGTCTGACAAGGTGACAGCTCACTTTCTTTTTTCGTCGGCGCTTGAGCCTCGCTAAACGCTTCTTTCGTCGAAGAGAAAACGTCTTCTGTCCATGTGCCCACTCTTTATCTTTCCCCGACTCACGGGCTGCCTGCGGCTCACCGCCGGACCTTCGCAAGGCAAGGAGTCGAGATTTTGTGGAGTCTAGACTCCGACTGTTGAATGCACCTTGATGTGTGAGTGTTGTTCTTTCCCGCTCCTGTCAAAAAAGGCGCACGGGCGGCAATCGCACAGTTACCATCTTGCGGGCTTGACGTCTAGCGCGACCTCAGTCGTTTTTTTGCCTGCGGATGCTTTGCACGACGGATACAGCGGACGGAGACCGGAGAGCATGCTGAAGTCTAGTCAGCCACGCAGGACAGCATCAGTTGCGTGATGGCTCGTGTCACGAGTTGTTCTGGTTTAGATGACCTGTCAAGATGAACGCTTCGGCTCCACATGCACACAGGCCGCACGGGCCTAGCCCTCGCGGAGCTTGCATCGTCATCTTCTTCACAGTCTGAATCGCAATTGTCCTCTGACAGGAGGAGGCCACAGTCGCGAACTGACAACTCAATGGGAAAGAAGAGGGAGACAGGAGATGCCGGAGGATCCCGCCGTGTCGCAGAAAGAAGTCGAGGCACTACGTTACTCGGCCTCCCATAATCTGTGTGATGTTCGCTCGGCACAGCAACCGCATTCCAGGTCTTGCTCATGTTGGCTTGCACGTTCGGCTTAGCTCGTGACGAAGGGGCAACTCTCTCGAGACGTCACTGTGACAGCCGTTGAGGCAACGGGCGGCGCACCCGCGCACGGGGCAAGAGCCGCCAACACTGGAACATCCTGACCGTGCGGTTGCCCTGACTCTGGCCTGTCCTTGCCGAACAACACTGCCCGTGCGTAGATCTGTGCCTGTGCTTTCACGCAAGTGCACTCTGGTAGGGGCAGTCGGCTCTGAGCACGTTGCTGCACATGGGCGGCCCTGCTCGCTCCCACAGGGCCCCTCAACCCTATATAACCGGCCGTGCCACCGTCCCATCATCTTACGAATATCACATCGCACTATCTCTCGAACCATTTTTACTCCTCAGCACTCATTACAATCTCAAGATGGAAGGATTCATCAACAAGGCCAAGGAGTTCGCTGGCTCCCAGCAGGGTCAGGACATGATCAACAAGTACACCGGAGGTAACTCTGGCAACAACAACAACAACAACAACTCCTCGTCGGGCGGCTACGGCGGCTCCAACGACAACGACAGCTACGGTAGCAACAACAACTCG